TGAACACTGACTATGTTGTTCTTAGCCACTTTGTAACTAAAGTTCCCCAGATCCTTTTGCAACAAATCAGCCCTAAAACATCAAAGTTTCTCTGGGTTACAATTGTTCTCTTTTTTCCTTGAACCAGACTTTTGCAGATCTTCTTGATATCTATGTTTCTCTGATTTCCCTACTGACCAGATCTTCCTAACTTTAAGATTTTTTTCAGAACTTCAAAGAAATTGTGCCTCCTATTAAATCTAATCTTGTTAGCTAACCAGAACCTTCCAAGGATATGACAGTGTTATCATGATTATGTTAGTTGTGTAGATATATTCTTAATATCACCTTTCTCAATATCACGGAATTGATTTTTTTTTTTTGCAGAAGTGCAAATGGTTTGCTTGAAAATGTATAGATAACTGACCTAAACAAATTCTAAACTTTTGTGTGTGTCTTTCTTTTGTGTCTTTTACCACCTTCCACCGTAGGCCCACTTGTAGCAGTCCACAGCTGGAGAGTTGTGATGGATTCTTCTGGTGTCCTCTCCCTTCTGAAGTCCATTCATCCATTCATTTACTTTTGTTTCATCCGTTGCTGTGTCAGCAGTCTAAAGCCTAGTGTATAGTCGCGCGGCGCGGACCTTACAGTGGTGACGTGACGTCACTTGCTCAACGCGTGGATCACCGCAAGGCACCTGGTTAGACTGTGTTTAGGTTCATTACAGAAGCTTCAGGTTCTGTAACTTTGGTCTAAGCGTGTGTCTATAGTATTCAAGCAACAGGAAAACAAACTGTAATTCAGTGGTCCTTTTCAAAACAAAGAACATGTTTCCCACCTCCGACACTAACAATCTCAAGTCTCCAACACTTTTTAATGTGGAAATTGTATGAATGTTTGTCTAAACCATAGGTACTTTGAGTTACCCGAGGGTTATCGCTCGGGGGGACTGCCACGCACCCTCGAAAATGTCTAACTACGTAAGGGTACGCAAGGAAGCTCCGCTGTGATTGGTCCGTGTGTGTGTTTTGGAAGGAAGCATGGAGCGGCTGCAGGGAGCATGGACGAGGCACTATGGAGCAGACTGCTTTGTGCTTCGAAGGAACCGAAGGAAAAGTAGTTTGGGCTCATGGCAGAGCCTGATATACGCGGAGACTGTGGACTAGAGTTCTGTTGGATATCTAACTTATATATAACTTATAAACTGTACAGTCGTTTGTTTTGTACTGTTTCTGTCTTTGTTTGAATCTGCACTCTTAGCGTATCGCGTCTGTTCCATTCCTCCTGCACTTGTACTGTAAATAGTTCATATTTGTCTCAGATATTTACCACTTATTGTTTTGCTGTTTGTGCTGAATACACTTTAATAATAACTATGTTTCCAACAAGAAGTGTGTCTTTATTCACAACATCACAGTTAAATGAGTTGAAACGATGAGTTTAGAACTATCACATAAACCTACAGTAGAAACACATTGCTTTTGTTATGAAGAGGAGAAAGTAGCAGCACAAATGGGACAACTTTGGTTAGGTAACTCCTGTGAGTTCGCCATCACGTGCTTGGTTGTGGGATTACAACATTCAGGGAACGCACAAGTGTACCACAAACTCTGGTTACGTAGGTCCAACGTAACCACAACCATAAGCAGAGTGTACACAGGCCTTAAGCAGAGACGCCAGACTTCCCTATCCACAAACACTTCCTCCTGCTCATCCAGGGGGACCCCAAGGTGTTGTGACCAAAGCTCATGACCATAGATGAGGGAGGGAACGAAGATCGAGAGCTTTGCCTTTTCGGCTCAGCTCCCACTTTATCAATGGTCCGATACAACAACCGCATCACTGGGCAAGGCACATTTTTCCGGTCGAGCACCATAGCCTCGGATTTGGAGGTACTGATTCTCATCCCAGCTGCTTTACACTCTGCTGCAAACCGTCCCAGTGCATATTGCAGCAAAGATGAAATCCTGTGGTCCTCGAACCTGACCCCTTCCGGCCCCTAGACGCACCTTGAAATTCTGTCCATAAAGACAGTGGAGAGAACTGGTGACAAAAGGCAGCCTTGGCGGAGGCTAACATGCACAGGGAACAGGTGCATGTTCCCGATAAATGATCTTCAGCCGAGTGTCTCGGCTGAAGATCATGCATCAAATGATACAGCAACAAAGGTCATCATCAACCTCCGTGAGAAACGCCAGTAAAGCGGAGCTTCCAACCCGTCTCAAGGAGTTGGGTTCCCAAGCTGTGTGTGGAGGTGAGTCGGTATCGCTCAACCTCCCCCATGAGCTCCAAATGTGGTGACGTTCAACGTCCCCACAGCCACATGCTGGGTGTGCGGACTGGGTCGTTGAGGTCTCCACCTTTGACCGCTGCCCAGTCCTCTCCAAGGCCCCATGGATCCCTCTGTGGATGGTGGGCCCACAGGAAGGTTGGCCCACGTTGTTGTTTAAGGGCAGAGCGCGGCTGGGCGCCGTGGACAAAGGCCCGGCCACCAGATGCTTGCGTACAAGCCCCAACCCCAGGGCTCCAGGCCTGGCTCCAGGCTCGGCACCGACTGCGCCATTGCGGTTCTCAATTTTCTGTGCTTTGGACTGCGCTTCAAGTGACTAGTCACCCAAGACCTGTTTGCCATGGGAGGCCCTACCAGGGGCATAAAGCCCCAGACAACATAGCTCCCAGGATCCTCCAGTACTCAAACCCCCTACCACGTTAAGGTGGCAGTCCAGGGGGGGCTCCCTCCTGAATCACACATTCTTTTGTATTTTAAAAGTTGAGGTGCAAATGGTTTGCTTGAAATTACAAAAATCTAAATTGTGAAATCAGTGTCTTGTACTCCAGTTCCTGTCAATCCCTCATACACCCAACCACAGTCAGAGAGCAGATGTGTGGAAGTCAAGGGTCTGCTGTGAATTCGAACAGACACAGGATAGAACCCTGAGGAACATTAGACCACAGCATCAAACAGGATGCTCCTATTGAGGCCTCCCAGACACCTCATCAGTAGGAGACATGGAAGTGCTGCCAACCTCCAATTAACTTGTCAGCCTCCCATGACATGGTTCTGGATTTAAAAATCAAATACCAATTTGAAGGTATAAGATTTATTTAAGCAACAGGAAACTGCTCAGTCTGTGTCATGTTCTGGGGAACTGAGGACATTAGGGTATGTGGAATAATACATTGTTGTTCTCCCATATACACTAGGAATACAATTGGTCTTGTTAGCCTTAATTTAAAAAATGCCTTATTGTCTAAGGGTAATGTCAGGAATGAAACAGACAGACAGGATCATGGCGCACCAGAGCTCTGGAAGTTTATTTAGGTTTCTCTCAGGTTCCAGTTGTTTCAGTTTTTTCTATTTTTTTCAGACAGAATAAAGGCAGGACATGATTTATATAGTCATTGTTAGGTCACACATCGAAAGACATACGTGTCACATTCAGAGACACTCAGAGCATATCATAGTCATAACATGGATACACAATCAGAGTCCTTGTAGAGTCTTGCGTTTGTCCACCTGGTAGGTCATATAGCTATTGAATCCTCATACTCCTGAAGACGATGACACTGGGATTGTGTCTTTAATTCAGACAGAAGACATGTTTTATTGTTGATGGTAGACACAACACGAACATGACAGAATGCAAGTGTATTATACAGCATGGAGGAATGCAGTCCTCCAATCAGCAGAGAAAGGGCAGGCTCCTTTTGTGGCACCGGCAGCTGATCAGTGGCTGTACTCAACAAGTGGCGTCTAAAACGGCATGTGGACAACAAGTGGCGTTTAAAACGGCATGTGGACAACAAGTGGCGTTTAAAATGGCATGTGGGGAATAAATGGCGTTTAAAACGGCATGTGGGGAATAAATGGCGTTTAAAACGGCATGTGGGGAATAAATGGCGTTTAAAACGGCATGTGGGGAATAAATGGCGTTTAAAATGGCATGTGGGGAATAAATGGCGTTTAAAACGGCATGTGGACAACAAGTGGCGTTTAAAACGGCATATGGGGAATAAATGCAGTTTAAAACGGCACGTGGGGAATAAATGGCGTTTAAAACGGCATGTGGATAATAAATGGCGTTTGAAACGGCATGTGGACAACAAGTGGCGTTTAAAACGGCATGTGGGGAATAAATGGCGTTTAAAACGGCATGTGAGGAATAAGGTCCCGATTCCACCGGGCGCGTAAAACGGACAACGGATCCGTCCAAACGTGCCCGTTTCATCTCCGTCTCCGTTATCTCCATGAAGGTGAATGGAAGTGGCTCCACTGCCTTCAACATGCGTCCGTCCAACGCACGTCGGACGCATTCCGTTAACGAAGGTTGCAACGCACGCGGACGGACGAAATAGAAACAATCCTATTTGTTCCGTCCGTCGACGCATGTCGGGTCCGTTTTCCATTGAAAATGCAATGGAATAATATATTTACTAGATTATTAAACATGTATTGATATATGCTGTAGTCCTTGGTTATAAGTATTTTTTAATGACAATGATTTATAACAAATGTGTGTAATTTTTTTCATGTATTAAATTGAAAAAATTGTTTCCTGATTGTATATCTACCATTTATTTTTTGCGTAATGTTAATACGCTAAACTTTACATAAACCTCTCTCTTTTTCCTCTCGCTCTGTCTCACACACACACACACACACACACACACACGAAAAAAAAGATGGCTGCCATAGGCGCGCACGGCTCGGCAGGTGCTGTGTGCCCTTTGCAAACTTCGTTCATCTATTTAAAACAGCCATCAAGATTTTCTTTACAAAATTGGACTATATTGCTCTATGTTGTGGCATTATCTACCTTGTCTGTAAGGCATTGTTTCCTGCAAGAGTACAATAATTGCTTGCACACTCAAGCTGACAGGAGCCTCAACATTTTATACTCTAAACTCCTTAACAAAGGATCCCCAAAAACGCAATCCGAGACGGCGAAGAAAACAACACCATTTAGCACTAATGTGATTTTTACCCAGTTGGCCATTGTGCTACTTTTGGCTGGTGACATTCAACTCAACCCAGGCCCAATACCAGCGCCTAACAGCTCTGGCATTGCGCAAACAACTTCAGTGCCAACAGGCTGTGACGCACCGCATATTACCAACTGGACATGGTCGACTGACCTGTTTGGCCCGTTTTTTCGGGCTGTGGACCCTGTGGTTGTTCCTTCGCGTGGACTGGAGGCGACGGGCGTGGTGGAACCGCATCCTGGGCCGCGCCTGGAGGCCGTGGAGCTTGGGCGTCCAGAGGGGTCTGTGCCCCGCGCGTGCGTGCTGGAGGTGTCGCGGTGCTCTCGCTGTGGGTCTGGGCCCTCGCTCTGTTCTGGATGTGGGTGCCCACGCGTGGTGGACCCGGTGGATTTGAGGTGTTCTTGGTTTCCCTCTGGCTCGGGTGTCCCGGTTCCCGTTGGCGGCTCTTCCGGGTCTGCGGTGTGGTCGCCGTTGGATCGCGGGACAGTCCAGGGAACGGTTTTTCCGTGTGCCGAGCGCATTGTTGGACCTATTGCAGCGAGGCCCTCAGCGGACCTTGGGGGGCTTGCTCCGTTGTCTACGGGTTCATTGGAGAGGCCACACGACAGCGGGAAGAACCAAGGACTGCGCATTGGTGAGTGTGTGACTTCGCCCACACAAACTGTCGATGACCATACTGACCAAATGCACTCTCTACCAACTAAACGCAGGAAGCCGTTCATCAAACGGCATAAAATCACCAAAATATTCCGCACACTCAATCAGGCTAAAGTCGTGTGGGATCCTTCATCTAAACCAAAGGGACTATTTGGTGGTCATCTCAATATAAGAAGTATGACGCCTAAACGTGAACAATTAGAATATCTGCTGTGTGGTTCAAATATTGATTTTCTGGGACTCACAGAGACATGGTTAACTCGTTCCTCATCTGAGGCTGTTATTAATTTGCCTGGGTATAATGTATTCAGAAAAGACAGAGACCAAGGGAGGGGCGGTGGAGTGTTGTTGTATGTCAAGAGCACTCTTAAATGCACAATGATTTATTTGCCCAGTGAAATTACTTTAGAATGTGTTGGTGTACATATATTACTCTCTCCTACAATGTCCTTTAATATAATATGTATATATCAAAAACCGAGTGCAAAAGTAGATTTTTACGAACAGCTTAAACTTCTCCTTAATCACTGTGACACAATCAAAGAAACTATTTTAATTGGTGATTTTAATGTTAATTGGAATAACAAAAAAGAGCGGAAAAATCTCAAACAAATTGTTCATTACTATAATTTAACACAAATGATAAAAAATCCTACAAGAATCACAAATAATTCTGAAACTCTAATTGATTTGCTATTCACAAACCGCTCTGAAAGAATTATTAAAACATATAATTTTATTACGGGCATTTCAGATCACAATATTATACTTTTCTCCAGAAAACTGAGTAAAAAACGATTTGGCAACATATCTACCCTAAGACGTCAATGTACTTTTATTCCAAAATCTCAAAATCAAAATCTGAATACAGTTTTGAGTGAAATAAATTGGGACGAGTTGTTTACAATGAATAATGTTGAAATTTGCTCTCAATCATATAATTCTAAAATGAAAGAGGTGATGGAACCATTTATAAAAAGGGGAAAAGGTAAACAAAAAATTAACCATCTACCTTGGCTTAACGATGAATGTAAAGCTCTCATGAAAGAAAGAGACGCTGTACTTAAAATATCTTTGGAATCTGGTCTCACTACAGACCGATTCAGATTTACATCTTTGAGAAATAAGATTACTCATGCCTTACGTAAGGCCAAAGCAAATTTTTTTGTCAATATAATTCAAAGTGCCAATGGAAATGGCAAAATTATTTGGCAAAATATTAACAAACTTATTGGAACGCAAAAGAAATCATATAATCCTAAAATGGAAATAAATATTGATAATATCTTAATAAATGATCCGCACAAACTGGCCACTACATTTAATAATTTCTTTATTGATTCTGTCAATGAAATAAAACAATTATTCTGCCCACCACAAACAGCTCATTATTCACTTGATCCTGAAATACCAGTACTTAGACTTGAGCAAATCACAGACGGGGACGTGGCCAATATTATCAAGTCCATTAAATCTTCAAAGGCAAAAGACGTGTACGGAATCGACACTCATTTTCTCAAAACACACATGGACACACTGGTGCGTCCGCTCACTCATCTGATAAATTTATCAATCAGTGAGGGAGTTGTTCCATCAGGCTGGAAGGTGGCCACTGTCTCACCTATTTTTAAATCTGGAGACAAGACTCTTACATCAAATTATCGCCCCATTAGCATACTACCAGTGGTGTCAAAAGTAGCTGAAAAATGGGTAGCCAAGCTGCTCAACCAACATCTCAGCCATGGCCACTCCCCCCTGCACCCCATGCAGTTTGGCTTCCGCCAGAACCACTCCACAGAAACAGCCAATTGTGTTTTTGTAGAAACTGTCAAATCTATGCTTGACAAAAACACCTGTGTTGGTGCAGTCTTTTTAGATTTGAAGAAGGCATTTGACACAGTAGACCATGAAGCCCTTATTTCTAAATTGACTCACTTTAACTTGGCCGAGGACACTCTTGCTTGGTTTACATCTTATTTGTCTGATAGAAGACAGTGTGTGAATGTGGGTGGCACCGTGTCATCATTTCTAGAATGCCCTGCAGGGGTCCCACAAGGTTCTGTATTAGGACCTATACTTTTTTCTGTGTATATCAATGACCTGCCAAATGTTTGTCAAAATGTCCACTTTCAAATGTATGCAGATGATGCTGTAATTTTTACTCCTGCTAAAACAACTGAGGAGGCATCATCTACCCTCACTGCAGCTCTGACAGACATACAGCAGTGGCTCAACAACTCATCCTTACTATTAAATAAAAAGAAAACCGTGTCAATGATATTCACAAAAAAATCTATTAAACTTGATCGGTCCAATGTGTTCCTTGGAGACACTGAGCTTGACTTTGTTGAGGAGTTCAAATATCTCGGGGTCACACTGGATTCAACACTCTCCTTTAAAAAACACATTAAGCTCACTGCGAATACAATAAAGTTAAATTTACAGAACTTCAAACAAATCAGGCCCTTTATGACAACAGATTCAGCAAAGATGTTTCTACACTCAATGATATTTTCACACATAGAGTACTGCATTACAACCTGGTCACTTACTGGAGAAACAAATATCAAACCCATAGAAATCCTCTTCAAAAAGTCCATAAAAATTCTGGATCAAAAGCCTTGGTCATATCATCACTGCAATATCCTGGAAAAATATAAAATGCTAAATTTTCAAAATTTTATAAATTTTAAAAACTGTTGCCTTGTTTACAAAGCACTTCATGGTCTTGCCCCGCCCCCACTATGTAACTACATTAAACTTAAAGCAATGAGGGGTCTCCGCACCAGAGCCTCCTCCAGAGGAGATGTGGAAATCCCACACAGAAAAACAACATTTGGACAAACTGTGCTGTCTGTCAGAGGAGGCCAGTCTTGGAACAGCCTTCCTACAGACATAAGAGAATGCCCGACATACAGCTCCTTTAAGAAACAACTTAAACATCACATCAAAGTAAATCAGTCATGCACTCATTTTAACTAAAATGTGATTTATAAAGTTTTTATATTGTGTTTTGTATGTATGTTTTGTTCATACATTGTTTTACTTGTGTGACCTGCCTCGGGACTACAGATGTAAATTAGCAGTTTTGCTATAATCTGGCACATTTACAATCTGTGTACAACTGTATATGATTGTTCATTAATGTGTGTTGTCCCGATCAAATAAATAAAAAAAAAAAAAAAAAAAAAACACACACACACACACACACACACATTGCCCAAAGAGCTGCACTCATGAGAGACAGATCTCACAACACTGGATATGTTGCAGTTCTTTTCTCTTTTCTCTCTCCCCTTTTTCCAATTGCTTTCAATAAGTTTTGCCTCATCCATCGCGACTTCCTCGATGCTTCAATATGCCGTGCTTTGGACTGATCATAGCCACAGCTCATGCAAATCACACACCGCTTCTTCTATTTAAAACAATTCCTCACGGGGTGCTGTTAAACGCACAGCCAGAGCTCCGCGCTGCTGCAGCCGGTTTGGCCACTATTCCGTTTTACGGACAGCAGCCAACACGCGTCAACGGAGACGCGCCCGGTGGAGTCCAGGCCTAAATGGCGTTTAAAACGGCATGTGGACAATAAATGGCGTTTGAAACGGCATGTGGACAACAAGTGGCGTTTAAAACGGCATGTGAGGAATAAATGGCGTTTAAAACGGCATGTGAGGAATAAATGGGGTTTAAAACGAAATGTGGACAACAAATACAGTTGAAAACAGCCTGTACAAAACGCAACAAGTAGCAATTAGAGAGTTAGTGGTCCAGTGGCTCAGATGGTAGTACACAGGTTTGTAGCACTGATGGTTGGTAGTTCAATTCCCCTGTGACTACCAATGACATTTGCTGATGTTGGGTCGTTGGGCATAACACTTCAAGGAGAATGTCAGATATGCTATAAGTTGTCTGAAAAATGTTGTTTAGGTAAAAATATAAGTTAACGCATAAATTAGTTCAGGGACCTAATTTCATGTATTATATATGGTTTAGATCTAGACAACATTGTATGTGCTTGTGGTGGATTTGGTTAATAACTGCCTCTCATTGGAGGCAGTGGAGCCACTTCCATTCACCTTCATGGAGATAACGGAGACGGAGATGAAACAGACACTTTTGGACGGATCCGTTGTCCGTTTTACACGCCCGGGGGAGTCGGGACCTTATTCCCCACATGCCGTTTTAAACGCCATTTTTGTCAGACTAAATACAAATTTAATATGTATGAATATATATTTCATATATACATATATATATATATATATATATTGTGGGGTGAGAAAAAGGGCAACCAGTCGGGCGTGAATAGCAGCCCCTTTTCGTAAACATGCCCCTCCCGAGCTCCTGAGACTTCAAAAGAAACTACGAGTTCAATGGAAGGCTAACATGTGCCAGGACACTGCAAGAAGACCCAAAGGGGCAATAAAAACAGCAGAACAAACATCTGTGTGCCCTTCTGCCTGACCGAGATCAGGTATCATTCACCCACTATCGCTCATGGGGCATTCCACAGCCCGAGACTCACCCACGGCGTTCTGGCGCCCCCCAGTGGACACTGAACACTATCACACCCGGCACGGACACTGTGTAGACCAGCTCCGGACTCAGGTTAACCCAATAAGTCTGTACCGTGCCCTACATGTGTGTATCATTGTCGAGTAATGAAATGCGGTGTGTGTTTGTACATGGTTGCGATCGTCTGTATTAATCCTGCATGGTTCTCTTGTAAACTGTCTGTTGTGAGAGGGTTGTCCTGAGAAGACGCACATGGATGACGTCAAGGACGCGCCCCCTTTTTGAAGTCAATATAAACACGCACAATGCAACAGAACTTCCTCTTGGTTCTTCCCGAAATCACTCTGGCAACTATTCCTTTTGGTACGTGTCTCCTACACGACCTACGCCCGCCACCATCTCGGGCCTGTACATCCACGAGGACAGCAGCCACTCTCGCTGTCGGAGACGAGGACCTTCCATCGCCAGCCACTTTCGGGCTCCCTGGAACACCCCACCGCAACGCTATTCTAGACCGTGTTGTGTGTGGAACCCACGCCTGGATCCGATCTGCTGGCTTCCTCCTGCTCCCTGTTCGAACAAAGACCACGTGGACGAGAACATCGCCTCCATCCTATTCTTCATCCTCATCCTTCCATCTCCATCCTCCCTCGTCATCTTTCCATCGCCCACCTCCCTTGAACGGCTCAAAGTAAGACTGTTCTTTGTTGGAGTGTGATTCAAATGAGATGTATACAACTTCTGTTTAATGTGACCAGAAATCCTTTTCGTTATATTTTCTATCTTCAATTTTTGTAGTCAATAAACCCACGTTAAACTTTAAAGACCTTATGACGGGTTTGATTTATTTAGAAATACAGTTTTAATACCATTTTATATTAGAAGAGAACTACTAAAGGTTTCAAAATCAGTTGTTTTTTTTGTCTGATCCCCCCAAATCAAAATAACCCCATAGCAACGCCCTTAGAAACGAAAAAACTTCACAGCCCTTGGTGACGTCAGAACGGGTACGTTTCAACGCTGTAAGTTGTTTACAATTTGGCATTCGTTCTTTTTTCGTGGATATTCAAGATGTTAATCTGACAAAAAAAAAAAGACAAGGTCTGAATTTGAGCCACGGACCTTCCGCATTAGACGCATATATAAACCACTTGCGCCACAGGCAGGTGCAGTTATATCAAATGTATACTACAAATTGTACATGAAATTAGGTCCTTGAAGAAATTTATTCCATAACCTTTATTTTTACCCAAACAACATATGGCACTTCAGACATTCTCCATGAAGTGTTTTGCCCAAGGACCCAACATCAGCAAATGTCATTGGTAGTCACTGGGGAATTGAACTAGCAACCATCAGAGCTGCACACCTGTGCTCTATCATCTGAGCCACTGGACCACTAACTCCACAATTGTAAGTAAGTAAGTAAGTAAGCTTTATTTATATACCGCCTTTCACAGACCAGAGTCACAAAGCGGTTTACAATTGTTATTTTTTGGGCACTTGTCCTCTCACTCCACACAGAGATGGGAGCGGGGTCGCCGAACAGGAGGCGCATGCCAGACCTAATTGCTGCTTGTTGTGTTTTGTACAGGCTGCTTTCAACTGTATTTGTTGTCCACATGCCGTTTTAAACGCCATTTGTTCCCCACATGCCGTTTTAAACACCACTTGTTGTCCACATGCCGTTTTAAATGCCATTTATTCCCCACATGCCGTTTTAAACACCACTTGTTGTCCACATGCCGTTTTAAACGCCATTTATTCCCCACGTGCCGCTTTAGACGGCATTTATTCCCCACATGCCGTTTTAAACGCCACTTGTTGTCCATATGCCGTTTTAAACGCCATTTATTGTCCACATGCTGTTTTAAATGCCATTTATTCCCCACATGCCGTTTTAAACGCCATTTATTCCCCACATGCCGTTTTGAACACCATATATTCCCAACATGCCGTTTTAAACACCACTTGTTGTCCACATGCCGTTTTAAATGCCATTTATTCCCCACATGCCGTTTTAAACACCACTTGTTGTCCACATGCCGTTTTAAACGCCATTTATTCCCCACGTGCCGCTTTAGACGGCATTTATTCCCCACATGCCGTTTTAAACGCCACTTGTTGTCCATATGCCGTTTTAAACGCCATTTATTGTCCACATGCCGTTTTAAACGCCATTTATTCCCAACATGCCGTTTTAAACGCCACTTGTTGTCCACATGCCGTTTTAAACGCCATTTATTCCCCACATGCCATGTGCACATGCCACTGATCAGCTGTGGCAGGTGCCGGAGCCACAAAAGGAGCCTGCCCTTACTGAATCAGCAGCTGCCACGGTGCCTTGTAGCTTTGCCTTCAGAAATCAAAACAAGGGAAAAGTACTGTCTGCTTGTGCATATGTTAGAATGATGAGTTAGAACTTTAACCCCAGTTGCTTCAAAGTGTCATGAAATATCTAAAGTAATTATATCCAACTTTAACTTCTTTCACAGTAATACATTTATTCATTAATGTATGTAATTATATTTTATGAATTATAAAATTCATAATTTATATTCATGAATTCAGAAACTCCATTCAATACAAATAACTTTAATTATCCGCAAGGAACTTTATTTGCAGACTAAGCACCAGTGGGGATCCATAAAAAAGACGGTCCCCACTCCAGACGCTCCTGGGGGAGAGACTTTCTTGTAACAAGGGGAAAGGATCAAAGGTCAATTGTTATGTTGGGGAGCACCAGAGCACACACTAGAGCTGAAAACCGGCTAACTGCTTCTGCTCATGCACTGATCCATATACAATTATTGTCCGGCAGAATGTATTTATTGTTTATTTAGTTGGGACAGTGCATGTTAAAGGATACTCCTCTCTCGATATCTCAGGCACACTTACAAACATACACTCATTCACACTCAAGTGAATTAGTGTCTTTAGTGGTAGGGGAAACACCAGAGCACCCAGAGACAACCAAACACGGGGAGAACAAGCAAATGCATCCACATGCAAGACCACTTTGCAGAGAAGGACAAGCGCTAACCCCGGCGCCACCTATGCCCAATGACAAGAACTGCCTCATTCAATCACTTCCTCTAAGTTTTATAATATTTTAATTGAGGGAAAATCTCCCTATGTATGTATTATAAAAAAAAATTCTACAATATACAGTATACAATGTCCTACATAAACATACACCCCATGGGACTGTGACTTTTAAAACTTTTTTTAGCATCCTCAACACTGACATCTACTGTTGAAAAGGTGATCAAAACATCCTCTTAATTAGCTTCACTCGTAACACGCTCGTGTTGTGATGGAGGCTGCTCTAAATACAGACTGTTGTTCAGCTCCAGGCCACACGCCACCTGCTGTTGGTGTTATTGTGTAAGTATCTGTTGCAACACTGAGTCCCAGAGACGCCTCCCTCAGGACCACGGAGAGCTCCAGTTGGTTTGCCAAACATGTCGCAACTCATACCTCTTATTTTCCTCAAACAAACTGTTGTTTTCACAGGGACCTGAGTGTAAATGTCTGAGTAAAGTTGATCATAACAATGAATAGGACATCTTTAAACTTTTACCAGATATATATGATGTTTGTTGAAGAATGTATTTGATCACACGGACCCTCTGCTTTCATTTATTTTATTCTTTATATTTAATAATTTTTTTTGGATGGGACAGTTTTTATCAATGAACCACAGGAGCTGTAAATACATCAGATTATAGCTATTTAGCTAATTTGTATCTGTATTCTCACAGTCAGTCACAAACATGTGACTTTATTCAACCCTCACCTGTTGTACATGTTTTTAGTGGTAGAGGAAATTGTGGTAACCAGAGAAAACCAACACAGGTACGGGGAGAACATGTAAACTCTACAAAGAAAGGCCATGTCTGGAGGTGGAATCGAACCCAGGACTTTCTTGCTAGTCCTTTTCAGGCCACCTAACCTGGTCAGTCAGCTGAAAAGATATAATTGTCAAATAAAATTGTCTGTAAAAAATGCAACAAAATGTTTGCCTCCATTTTCAAGAAAAGTGTGTTTTCCCCTCCAAAAAATCTCATCCAGAGTTGCAACAGAAAAAATAAGTAAAAAGTGAAGCAGCTTTATTTTCAGTGTTTGAGATGCACCACTTATTCGATTTTAATGGCCAACACTCCACTTTACAGAGAACTCAGCCATTTGTTTCTACTGCTGAGCAGATTCAATTTGAATTTCTTGTTATTTTAAACAAAAAAAACAGAAATGTTTCTATGGATTTGATCAAATGTTCATCTTTGCCATGACTACCAAGGTATTCTTGGCATTGTTCCCCAACATTCAACAATACTTACTGTATATACTGCTGTGCGTGAATGTAATTTTATTATGCAACATTCAGTGACCCCTGCCCCCCTGGCACAATGGTATATCCTATGGCCGTAATCTGACATGTAGATACTCTGCTTGGTCATATGACTTGTATTGCCCCAGTCATAACAGCCAGGGGTGTAATTCTCATTTGGGTCAGGGCTGAATGAGAAAATAAGAGCTGGTCGATGTCCAAAACTGTGGTTTAATTTTTATTTGACATACATTTTGTTTTACATGAGCTTGGATATTCTTTTATGGTAGATTATCTGAACAAAATTAGTTAACCCTTTGGGTTAAACCGGCAGGCCTATGTTTGACATGCCTGACCCAAACCAATTGGTCAGATACAAAAAACTCTTACTCTAAGATGTGATTGGAACTTTCCTTCATATAGAAACAATACAATTCAAAATACAACACAAAATCCAAAAACGTAAATGAAACAAATTGCCCTTAACGTCTATAAGTCTGAGTCTTTCCCATTATGTGACGCTTTGTGTTCTTCTCTGGATAAAGCATAATTATGAATACTTTTGGCATGAAAATACAACAGAGCATTCCATAACTTGAGGCGAGAATAGCAAATATCTCCACAGCGACGGTGAACTTTCCTGGAGAGCTGACGTAAGCCGGGATAAACGTGATCCAGACGGCACAGAAGATCAACATGCTGAAGGTGATGAACTTGGCCTCGTTGAAATTATCCGGAAGTTTACGAGCCAAGAACGCCAACACAAAACACAGCAAAGCCAACAGGCCTATGTATCCCAGAACTGCCCAGAAGCCAATAGGAGACCCTAATGCACACTCTAAAATAATCCTGTCTTTATAGTGGTTCATGTTTTTAAAAGGGAAGGGAGGGTTTATTGTTAACCAGAGGACACAGATCAGAACCTGTATCAGAGTAAACCCTACAACAGTGAGTCTCTGCTGAAGAGGCCCGAACCATTTCATGACATTACTGCCTGGGAGTGTGGCTCTAAAGGCCATGAGCACCACTATAGTCTTCCCCAGAACACAGGAGATACAGAGGACAAAGGTGATGCCGAACGCAGTGTGGCGCAGCATGCAGGACCACTCAGAGGGACGTCCCACGAAGGTGAGAGAGCACAGGAAGCACAGGCTCAGCGAGAAGAGCAGCAGGAAGCTCAGCTCAGAGTTGTTGGCTTTAACCAGAGGAGTTTCTTTGTGGCAGTAGAAGATCAGTGTCACAATCATCGTCAGAAACCATCCCATCAACGCAAATAGGACCAAAAGGTGGCCCAGCAGTTCACTGTAGGATAAAAACTCCACACCTTTAAGGACGCATGCATCTCGCTTCTCATTGGACCAGAATTCAGGGGGACATTGTAAGCACTGTACTGCGTCTAGAAAATAAATATGTTAATATTAGTTAAATTTTATATTTATTTCCATCTGATGCAGTAAGACTCACACTAGGAGTGATTTACAATAACATTTACAGTACCTTTTGTGTTTGTTATCTCTCCTTCTGGACAACGAATACAGTCATAGCAGCAGATTGGCCTGCCTTTGATATGCACTTTGTGAGTCCCGGGGTGACAACTTGCACTGCACACTGAGACAGGTAACTTCTATAAAGCAAAGAAGACGTTTATTAAATGTTGTCTTCATATTCATACATATTATGTACAAGGGGAAATTAGAATAAGTGATGTTTTTTCTATAATTAAACCTAAAATATGAATTCAATTGAAACTTAGACTCATTACATGCTAAGTGGGATATGCCAACTCTCTGATGTTTTTAAAACATTTGGATGATTACAGTCTACAGCCTACAGTCCGCTATTTCTCACTTTTTCCCACTGGGTTTTTTAAGAGTTTTTCCTTGTCGATGCAGGAGGGTCTTGTTGGACAGTTAGTGTCCAACAGAAAGGATTGGTGATGATCAGGACACTTTAGCATTCTACAACATGTATGGACATTTTCTTCTGTGTGTGCTTTATATTCTCCATGTGTTTTGGCTGTTGATTCTCTGACCTGTGTTGGTGATTTCAATGGTTTTGTTAAGTCCTCTGAGATGACTTCTGTTGTGACCTAGGGCTATACAAGAATAAATTGTATTGTATTGTGTATTGTATTGTATTTGAAAAATACAAATACGGACTTAATATATCTCACTGTGAGTTTAAAGAGTCTTTCTTTATTAGTTTCACATTGTACGTTAAAATACAAGACTAAATTTATTTTTGAATGATATACCAATCATATACCAGTGTCACCTGTATACCATACATTATTTCAGTTTAAGGTTTTTCTTTTTTTTTTAAGGAGTTTTTCACACAGCTGTTCTCATTTGCTCCCTGATGTTCTTGTGCTGTACACTACACTGACATTTCCCCACTGGGACAAATAAAAGTCTTATATTATCATACTAACTATATTTGTTTACCTTTGAATTATTACTCCACATGAGTGATTTGTTATTCATAACAAACTGTTGGCTCTCTGGAAAGGAGGCGTCAAATATCCCAACTGTTACAGCTTCCAAAGTGCCTTTGTCTGTGGTTTGTAAATTCACCAGTTCATATCTCGCAGGTGAGTCTCCATTACTGTCGAAATACACTCTTTGTCCTTCTCTCGTGGTAAATTGGACTTTGTCGAGGTAGTGTAGCACCTATCAGGACACAACTCAGTCATATGGCAGGAGGATTCGACCAGACAGAGCTGAAGAGGTGCACAGGTGGAACTCAGAAAAGTGCATTCACTTCTATAATTCAACTTTCAATGTGAAACTAATATATGACACTCGTAAACTGAGATGTATCAAGATTTTAGTTTTGTTTTGTTATCATTCTAATAATGATGACACACAGCGTATTCCATAATAACCCCAAACAAAGCAGAAAGATTTCAGAAAATCGACTGAGAGTAAAAATCTGCTTGTCACTTTACAAGTAATAATGAGTCTCACACATTGGTTTCACATTGTATGTTGGATTTCAGAAAGAAATGAATGTTTGAACATTATCATCATTTTCAGTTTCACCTGTCTTCTTTTTATCATGAGACACTTTATGAAGGCAGATTCAAGAAGTCATTAGCAATGTGATATCACCAAGTATTGTGTTTATTCACCTGTGATGGCTGTATGTTTGTCACAGAAGCACAACTGCCATTGGCGAACGGGCCTTTCCCCTCCTCACATTTAAACAGGTCATCGAGTGCATGAGCCACAGCGTGCAGAGAATTGTACACATTACTCACAAATCGTAACTCTGACACATCAGTGAAATCTATGTCGACATTTTGCAAGCTTTCTGTTCCAGTGCATGACTTTTTGTCTGTTTTTGAAGAATTATCCAATGAACAGTCAAACACAGTCTCCCAGAAGTCTCTGACAAATTGGCTGTTGGGGAAGTGTGATGGGTGGAGCGATCTCAGGTGATCCACCAATCCAGGAATATCTGTTTTGATCACGACAAAGCCCAGAGAACCAATCAGCAAACCATGTCCTTCGCTGTCAGTCAGAGAGAAGTCTGTGATCCATGCATCACTGCCAACCCATTGAAACCCTGTGATATTCTGCTTGTACAACTCTGCAGCCAGTATCGTGATTTCTCGATGGGTCATGAATGCCAAAATCACTCTAGAAGTCGCATGTTTTAATACTTCAATTATTTCTTGCAATCGCCAAGATGGATCCGAGGATGAAAATGCTTCGGAAAACTCAATGCATATTTCGTATTCCTGTGCAGAACGAACAAAAGATGCAACCCCATTGAGTCCGTAGTAGTTGTTCACAGCTATCACACCTATCCACGTCCAACCAAAGTGCTTTATGAGCTTGGCTATGGCTGTGCTCTGGTAATAGTCACTGGGAATGGTTCTGTAAAACGTGGGGTACATTTTGCGGTTGGTGAGACAGGCACATGTGGCAAAGTGGCTGATCTATACAACAAAACAAGCAGAAATATAGACATTAAATCAAACAGATACAACAAGTGCAAAAAGACACAATGCACACATGTGTTTACTTACCACAGGCACATTGAATCTCCCCACTACCTGGGCAAATGCAATGGTAGGAGTGGACCCAGAATGGCCCAGAATTGCTTGTACCGTGTCTGTTTTGGTACAGTTGTCGTTTTGGACTTCTTCCCTTAATCCACTCACCAATGCCAGCCCAGCCCTGAGTATGTCCATGGTACCACAGCTGTTGTATATCCTCCAGCCCAAAGTTACATTGGGGAGAATGCTGGCATCTTGGTTGATCTTTTTAATTGCAAAAATCATTGTTTGAGCAAATTTAAATTCTCTGAAGTTGAAGCTGAAATGAACAGAGAAGAATTTCACGTGACAATGGGATACAATATACAGCTAAGGTTAAGGTATACATTTAGCTTTGAAATCAGGGATAAAGTTATACTTTTTATCCCGGAACCCTGCAAATTTAGACCACACATAATTGTTGGTGAAGCTGTTGGAAAAAAAAATAAACTTGGAAAAGGATTTAAAAGTTAATTTCAGTGACTACACTAAAAAAGTGAAACCAATTATAAAGACTCATTACATGCAAAGTGACATATGCTGAGCCTTTGTCAGTTATAGTTCTGATGCTAATGGCTAAAAGTCCATTATCAACAATAAAATATGCAGGCTTGATGTATCTCACTTTGTGTGTAATGAGTCTGTCATATATTAGTTTATCTTTGTGAATAAGTAGAAAATTTACTTTGAACATTATTAAAAAAGTTGAGTTTCACCTGTACATTACCTGTACATTTAGACCTGCAATATCAGGTCTAAATATTGAGTGAAAAAATATCTCCATAAATACAACAGGAATAAAGAAATTGAAATTAAACCAAATGTTCCATATAAACTTGTCATAAAAGTAATCTGTACTAAAATAATAACAGTTGGCACATACTTCATGCATTTTCGAATTTCTGGCAAACTTTCAAACGTGTCAACGACATGTTCCTGCCCTGTCCGGAATGAAAAGATGCCCCCAATGTTGAGGTCTCCATCCTGGGCCAGTTCCGGCAGCTGCACAAAGCCGTGGAGCCGGCACACTGACGCTCCCCCATGGATCCACACAGGGAGCAGTAACAGCACTGACAGTAGCATAGCTTAGCTGCAGACTACAGCAGCACTCCCACTGCACTATATTTATAAGCATTATGTCTATTGAAAGAGTATCCCAGGAGAGTAAAGGAGTAAACAAGTTAGACAGGAAAGGTTTTTATTTATCAATACATTCAAATAGTTTCCATATTGAGGACTTTGGAACCACTACCTATAGGACCCATGAACCACATACTTTTTATTTGCTCGAATATAATCATCAAATATCCAAATAGCCTCATCTCCTATATCCTATATCTCAAAAGATATAACACACAACATAAATTAAAATATAGAAACATAGAAATGTATAAAACAATCTGAATCTGTGTTTTCTATTCCGCCTGGATGTTTTTGCTATATAACAGTTCCTTAAGTATAATTTCATGTGAGATTTGTCTTCTGTGAAAAGGGATTTTTCAAAACTCCAAGAGTGGGTCATTCTTTATTAGCTCCAATTCCCTGACAACAGATGTACCCTTCTTTAAATTTACCAAAGAAACTGTAGCAAGACTTGGATCTCTTTGCGTGCAGAGATTGTTCTCTTATGAATCAGTCATCATAGTCCAAAACGAATGAGCTTCAGTTTCACAAAGGTTCCAGTTGATTGTATGCACTGTACTCCAAAAATGAGATTCAGTCCCAAACCTACTTTTTTTTTTTTTTAGGCAAGTGATGTTAGGGATTCAAACTATATTTTTATTCTTTTTATGACAGGTACTCAATCAGCTGTTTATTCTTCGCTTGTTCATAATGCTCACTTTGGTGTTATTTTCAGGCTTTAATAAAATGACATAACACTTCGGAACAAAAATACAGAGCAGAAGACCAAAACTGGAGGCCAGAATAGCAAATACCTCCACTGCTACACTAAACTTTCCCGGAGAGCTGGCATAAGCTGGAACAAACGTGATCCAGACGGCACAGAAGATCAACATGCTGAAGGTGATGAACTTGGCCTCATTGAAATTATCCGGAAGTTTACGAGCCAAAAAAGCACAAATAAAACACAGCAAAGCCAACAGGCCTATGTATCCCAGAACTGCCCAGAAGCCAATAGCTGAGCCCATAGCACACTCAACAATAATTTTATGAGTGAACGTTTTTACATTTCTGAACGGAAACGGCGGGTTTATTGTTAACCATAAGATACAGATTACAACCTGCACTAGTGTGAACGCAACAACACTGAGTCTTTGCTGAAGAGGCCCGAACCATTTCATGACATTACTGCCTGGGAGTGTGGCTCTAAAGGCCATGAGCACCACTATAGTCTTCCCCAGAACACAGGAGATACAGAGGACAAAGGTGATGCCGAACGCAGTGTGGCGCAGCATGCAGGACCACTCAGAGGGACGTCCCATGAAGGTGAGAGAGCACAGGAAGCACAGGCTCAGCGAGAACAGCAGCAGGAAGCTCAGCTCAGAGTTGTTAGCTCTGACCAGAGGAGTTTTTCTGTATCTGAAGAAAATCCAGGCCACGATGCAAGTCATGAATGTCCCAAATAAGGAGGCAGCTGTGAGCAGAGCTCCCATGATCTCTTGATAAGACAGAAACTCAATTTCCTTCTTTTCACAATGATTTCTTTGACTATTGGACCAAAACTCTGGAGGACATTGCACACAAGTGATGGAATCTGTAAAGGGGCAGAGCATTGTATTCAATTCTATACTCGCAGGCACAGTGAAAGCAGTTGGTGTAGGACCTGTTGTGTTGCTTATTTCTCCTTCTGCACAGAGCACACAGTCGTAGCAGCACACTGGCTTCCCCTTCAGGAGAACCTTACGTGTACCAGGTGAACATTCTTGGCTGCAGACCGATTGAGGCACCTGGATCACAGCATGCAACAGTTGTTGAAAAGATACAAATTCTTAATGTTGTTACCATGTTACATGACTCACTAGTTTTGATTTCCTGGCCCACACTATAGATGCAATATGTATTTGCAGTTGTCTATCTGTGGGTAATGATGCATCATAAAGTCCCACTGTGACAAAGTCCACTTTGCCCTGAGCATTGGGCTGCCAGTTTATTATTTCATACTTAGCAGCAGGGTCCCCATTCTCATTGAAATACACGTCCTCTCCTTCTTTTGTTTGGAAACTGATTTTTTTAAATTGTTGCAAAGTCTAATGATGAAAACCACTCTTAGTACATTGGCAAAATAATGCTTGTCATTATTATTATATACATATACAGTGACATAATTATTATTATTATGTCACTCACCATGCGAGGATCCAACTCCACATCCGTTTGACAGGTTTGGTTACATTTGAAGATTGTGTGCAGGGCATGGGCCACGGCATACACTCCCTTATAGATATTATTAAAGATGGGCATGAGGGACATGTCAATGAAGCTATTGTGCACATTACCCAGATTTTCAGTTCCGGTACATTTTTGATCACTCTCTGCATTAAATTTACAATTGTACAGTGCTTCCCAGAACTCGATAAATAACAGATTCCCAGAGTTGTTGAGTGGTCTTACATCCACCATAAACTCTTCCATGCCACTGACATGAGCCTCTGGAATAGACAAGCCAATGGCCCCATCCAGAACGTGGTGCTGATCCATGGACAAGGATTTAGAATCAAAGATCCAGGCCTCCGTGCCCACCCACTGGTAACCAGTCACATTTTGTTCAGACAATATATTCACAAGCATCATGAGCTCAGTAGGAGCAACAAATGCAACGATCACTTTAGAAGTTGACTGTTTAATTATATTAACAATGGTTTGTATTTTCTCCCGTGGCTCAGTTCTGAAGAAAGACACAGAGTACTCCAGACAGATGCCCAGCTCATGAGCTGTTTCAGTGAAAGTGGCCATGCCGTTATTGCCATAATCATCATTGATTCTGATGGCTCCCACCCATGTCCAGCCAAGGTGACTGACCAGTTGGGCGAGGGCTCTGCTTTGATAAAAGTCACTGGGAATAGTTCTGAAGAAGGACGGGTATTTCACTTTGTCACTTAAACATGCACAGGTGGCAAAGTGGCTGATCTGGAAAATATGTGCACCAATGTTAGGAAATTAAATAGCCACATTTTTTAAAATTTTCATATACATATTTTTTGACAAATATACAGACCAGTGGTATATGAAAGGGTCCAAGAACAGTTGCTATTCCCATTGACAGCGAGGATGAGGTCTCTCCTATAATGGCCTGCACTTGTGAATGTCTGGTGCATGGTAGCTCAGAAGACACAAACACTTGTTTGTTGCCGTTAGTCAAAGCAAATGCTCCTCTCACAGCTTTGATGATAGAGCTACATGCATCGTACATCCTATACCCCAGAGACAGCCCTGGCAGAAGCACTGAACTGTTATTAATTTCTGTTATTGCAAACAACATTGCCTGGGCATATTGGAGTCCTCTTAGGTTAAAACTTCCACAGAAAAAAAAGACACATGTTACAAATGTGTTTAGGACAATTGGGTGTATCTTAAATAAAACATCTTACCTTGTGCACTGTGGAGCCATAGGTCTTTGAGAGTAATTAGCTTTTCTGTTTTCCCAGCTGCTATGAAAGGAGAAGATGGCTCCCAGTATAACATCACCCTCTTTAGACAAGTGAAAACTTTCAGTAGAACCTAAGTGTCTACAGACATCATTTCCGTAAGAGAAAGAGGCGACCAGCAGCAGCTGCAGAAGTGCAAAGCCCTGCTCCTGCCTCCTGCGTGGGGTCATCCTCAGGTCTGAGAGCTCCGACCCTCATCCGCACACATATTTATACTGTTTCAAACCACAGGACATAATGAAGGATGGGCAGGATGAAACTACCAACTATACTCTCTCTCATTCTCTCTCTAATGTAAATATTCAGCAGTACACAATTAAAAGATATCAAATATAATATTATTTTGTGAGGGGAGAGCTTTAATAAATATTATTTCTCCTGCACACCCCAAGCCCCCATTCTTACAACAAAAAAAACTAAAATGATATAAAAAAAATAAAAGATTCTGTTCTGTTTTTTTAATCTTTTTTATTTATACTGTAACTGTGCGCAACTGGTGGAGCTTGCCTCAATTTTTTTGCCCCAGAAGATTCTGGAGAGTTTTTACATGGAACACATGTCCATGGAGAAGTTTCTTCAAGATATTTTCCTTTGTGTTTGCATGAAAACATGATCACATTTAAGTACTTTGTGGACTGCATTTCTCATTATGCAAATGTTCTTTGAGACACTGAGTTGAATGAATGAATGTAAACATTATTTGTTTGTGTTCTTTCTCAGAGCATCTGTTCCCACATTCTGGGATAATGCTGCCCCCTTACCATTCAAACAGCAACTGACTATGACTATGTTTTTACCTTTACATTTATACTAAAATACTTATGTATACATCATTCAAGTTGTCAAAATTCGTGTTTTATAATTCCAAATACAAATATTTGCATACTTTAAATATGCCTTCATTACTTGTTATGAGAACAACTTTTGGAAAAACATTTTTTCCGCTGCTTTAGGGTGTACTGGTAGTAACGACAATTATAGCGAAGGATATTGATTGGACCCAATTGACTCCTCTCTAAGGCTTCATATTTGGCTTTTCAATCAAAAATGATACAGCATAATTTCTTTTTGAGAATCATTTATTGTTATATAATTACATGGAACCATTAAAAATATTTCCATTCCCTAAATTTACAGTCCCTTATGAGAGGTCGTTCCCATTATATGTTTCCTTGTGTTGTTTTCAGGTTTTAATAATATGATATAGCATTTAGGTAAAAATATACAAAAGAGCATTCCATAACTTGAGGCGAGAATAGCAAATATCTCCACAGCGACGGTGAACTTTCCTGGAGAGCTGACGTAAGCCGGGATAAACGTGATCCAGACGGCACAGAAGATCAACATGCTGAAGGTGATGAACTTGGCCTCGTTGAAATTATCCGGGAGTTTACGAGCCAAGAACGCCAACACAAAACACAGCAAAGCCAACAGGCCTATGTATCCCAGAACTGCCCAGAAGCCAATAGGAGACCCTAATGCACACTCTAAAATAATCCTGTCTTTATAATGCAACAGGTTTCTATTCGGAAACGGCGGGTTTATTGTTAACCATAAGATACAGATTACAACCTGCACTAGTGTGAACGCAACAACACTGAGTCTCTGCTGAAGAGGCCCGAACCATTTCATGACATTACTGCCTGGGAGTGTGGCTCTAAAGGCCATGAGCACCACTATAGTCTTCCCCAGAACACAGGAGATACAGAGGACAAAGGTGATGCCGAACGCAGTGTGGCGCAGCATGCAGGACCACTCAGAGGGACGTCCGATGAAGGTGAGAGAGCACAGGAAGCACAGGCTCAGCGAGAACAGCAGCAGGAAGCTCATTTCGGAATTATTGGCTCTCACTATTGGAGTCTGTCTGAAGTGGAAAAATATCAAGGCTATAGTAACAGCCAAGCAAGCGCCGAACACAGAAAAAGAGACAAGAATTATGCCCATGAGTTCCCTGTAGGTGAGGTATTCTATTGCTTTCAAATCACAGTTTGTTCTCTTTGCATTGGACTTGTACTCAGGAGGGCATTTGTGGCATTTTGCAGCATCTGAAAGGATAAACAGTTTTAGGCTGTGCCACATCCATGCCTTAAGAAAGTATGTAAATGTCGTGGTGGTGATTTTGCCCATTGATAACAAAATGAGCGCCAAGATAAAGGGCAGAAGTCCAGGACTCTCACTTGTGCTGTTGCTAAACTCTCCGTCAGCACAAACGATGCAGTCGAAACAACACACAGGTTTTCCTTTGACAAAGGCCCGGCGTGTCCCGGGCAGACAACTCTCACTGCACACAGACCTGGGCACCTGCCGGAACACATGGACAACGTAATTTGTCACGTCATGTAAACAAACTGTGACGGTTATGAATTATATATTTTTAATGTTCAATTCATAACTCATTCATAGCATAATAGATTTGGATGTAAAGTAATAGTAGTAACATTAAACTGGGTCTGTTACTATGTTGTTTTCATTTGTGTGGAATATTTTAGATTCACTTTACCTTTGGACTGTTGCCTGCCCACATCGCTATTTCACCACTCTTCATGTCAAACTGTTGACCTTCAGGTTGAGAGGCATCATAGTATCCAATCGTGTCAAACCTTATATAACCTGTTTCATCTATTTGCCAGTTTACAAGGGCGTAGCGTGCAACAGGATCGCCCACTGAGTCAAAAAACACATTCTCACCAATCTTTGTGGTAAAATTGACTTGTGATAGGTAATGCAATACCTGCTAAGACAGAAAATGAAATTGTTATAGCAATATTGTGTGAGATTATACATATTCTATGATAATTTTAATTGTCCAACTTTTCTCTACCTGCCATGGTTTAACGCTGCTCTTTTCAGCACATGAGTAGTTCCCAAAAGGCCCCAGTCCTTCTTGACATGTAAAAAGCATATGCAGTGCATGGGCTATTGCATATGTAGCCTTGTATACATTATTCAACAAACTGGCATCCGACACGTCTATAAAGCGGGAGTCTGTGTCCCAAAAGGATTCAGTGCCGCTGCATCGAGGCAGTGAAGTGGTTGTTCCATGATTGAGAGTACATTTAAACACTGACTCCCATAATTCCACTAGACCCTGATCTCCCAGCTGGGTGGAGGGTCTGCTGTTCGCGAGAAACTCTTTCAGCCCGGGGATATGTGCATTTAGAGCAGCAAATCCGACGGCTCCCTGCACAACAGCATAATTAACTGTTGAAGCAATGTAGCGATATGTGATCCATCCCTCACTTCCCACCCACTGCAGCCCGGTCACGTTTTGAGCATGCAGTTCTTTTATGAGAATATCCAAGTCTGTTCCATCTGCAAACGCCACTATGACCTTAGAAGTGGATTTTTTGATAATGTTCACAACCTCCAGGAACCACTTTTTTGGGTCTGTTCTGTAAATGGCCACAGAGTACTCGACACAGACGCCTTCTTTTTCAGCAGCTTGTATGAAAGTTGCCATTCCTCCATTTCCATAGTCACTTCTGGTCCGAATAGCACCTACCCACGTCCAGCCCAGATGTTTGACCAGTTTAGCCAGTGCCTCGCTTTGGTACAAATCACTGGGTATAGTTCTAAAGAAAGAAGGGTAGTCTCTCCTATTGCTGAGGCAAGCACAAGTGGCTGAATGACTGATCTGGAATAGACAAGATAATAACATAATAACAGGCAACATGGTTCCTTGGTAAAGATTTAAATGGCGTGAAACGTGCATTGTGAATCATTAATATCAATGGTTTGATTAGACACAATGATTAATGGTGAAAAGTGAGTACATGGTCAATGCTATTAAGATATACTCACTGCAGGTATATAGAAGGGTCCCATGGTGCGTGCAATGCCAATAGTGGAGGTCGAGGTGGTCTCCCCTATGACTGCATGCACTGTGGAGAGTTTGTCACAGCTCTCATCTTCCCCGCTCTCATAACGATTCATTAGATTTAGTGAAGCATGGATAGACAGGGGGATGCTAGGGCAGGAATCGAAAATCCTATAGCCCAATGTCATACCAGGCAACAGCTCTGTGCTATTATTAATCTCCTCAATAGCAAACATCATAGTGTACGCATACTGAAGTTCACCAGGATCCAGCCTAGAACACCGAGACACATTTAGTTATATTTACGAAGCAAAAGAGTCACTGTGTTATGCCTCACCCATTGCACTGAATAGTCCCAGGGTTGACTTGGAAAGCTGGATAGACACTGACAGGGTTCTGGTGGAAGGAAAATATGCCTCCAATGTTGATGTCACCCTCCTTAGAAAACTGGGACGTCTCTTTGGTTGCATATGTTTTACAGTGCGGCTGGATTCCTCGGACAGACATAAGGCTCAGAAGAAGCATGTCTGCGACCAGAAGCATGGCTGCTCACACTGAACCTACCGAGGCTAAAGGAGACACCCCTCATACTGCGCCATTTTATAGGGTTTTTCCTTTGGGCGCAGACAGAATGGCAAAGGAGACCAGGGGTAATGTGAAGGGAGGGGACAGTTTCTCTCAACCAATTACAGATCATCATTTGGATATTGTTGATAAAAGGTTTTAAGCCACTGTTGCCTATTGCTTTTGTGGTGCCTTAACATTATCACGCCAATAATATAATCAGACACAAGATGAGATAAACTTTATTGACAATGGAGAAACTTACAAGACGCTGTAAAATATTCAGTTTATGTTACTAGATACATGTCACTTTGGAATGAAGATTAGTCATTCATTGCATAATGCAGAAAAAAAGCATTTGTCTAAACAATTTGATAATTTTTTTCAGTCTAACACCCGCTCCCTGAAATAATCTGTGTTGTCCTAAATTTCTAAGATAAATTGTCATTAGGCAAAACACTTCACCCACGAACTGAGCTGCTGACAGTCTGCCACAGGGCTGTCTCCCACTGATTGCTCTTTTTGGAGCGCAAAATATTCACTCTTCTGATTCAGTATTCTGCTTAGATGGTGTGGTTATGTCTGGTGCATCTACAAGAATTCTAATTATGTCCACTCCCTAATCTATAAAAAGTACAAATAAAATAAAAGCAATTCAATCCAGTATTTGTGAACTGCTCTTTTAAAACACCAGTATTTTTTCTTATTATTATCAACATATGTTTTATCAATTTAACTTATTCTTCCCATCATGTGCTTTTTGGTGTTTCTTCCTGGTTTGAGAAGCAACACATAACATTTTGGAAAGAAAATGCAGAAGAGTAAACCCAAACTAGAGGCCAGAATGGCAAATATCTCCACAGCAACTGTAAACTTTCCCGGAGAGCTGACATAAGCCGGGATAAATGTGATCCAGACGGCACAGAAGATCAACATACTGAACGTGATAAACTTGGCCTCGTTGAAATTATCTGGCAACTTACGAGCCATAAACGCTAGAATAAAGCACATTATTGCAAGTACACCAATGTAACTCAAAACGGCCCAAAACCCAATGGCTGATCCCAACTGGCACTCAAGAATAATTTTGTTGTTGGCGTAAGCAACATTTTTGTGCGGTACAGGGGGGGCTAATCTCAACCACAACACACACACCACCACTTGTATCAGCGTACAGACAAAAACGCTTGCTCTCTGAATAGGTATTGAGCACTGGACGGGACCAGAACTCACAGGTCTTTTCCATTTAAACGCAAATACGACCGCAAAAGTCTTAGCCAAGATACAAGACATGCACAAAGCAAAGGTGATGCCGAACACAGTGTGGCGCAGCATGCAGGACCACTCAGAGGGACGTCCTATGAAGGTGAGAGGGCACAGGAAGCACAGCATCAGAGAGAAGAGCAGAAGAAAGCTAAGTTCTGAATTGCTGGCTTTCACAAGAGGGGTGTAACGAAACCGGAAAAACACACATATCACTATCATGGTTAAGGCCGCGCCAAACAAACACAAAGCCACAAGCACGGCGCCCATGCTCTCTGTGTAAGATAGGAACTCAATCACCTTGGGCACACACTCGCTGTGATTGATGTTGGACCAGAACTCCAGTGGACATGACATGCAATCTGAATCTGAATAAATAGTCTCCATGTTACATATTGAATGCTAGAGAAATGCGTCCAATTTATATTTTGAACTTACTGTTTAGATGTGTGATCTCTCCGGCAGCACAGCGGACACAGGAGAAGCAGCAGGGAGGTTTACCTTTGATCTGGGCCTGGCGGAAACCAGAAGGACAGTTGTGACTGCAGACAGACTGGGGTCTCTGAAAGAAACAAGAGGCTTGTATGTACAGTATGCTTGGCCAGTATACTGTTTGAAAAGATATGCATTGGCCTGGAGGACTTGGTTCACTTTAGAAGCTGATCCAGGAGACTCAACACTCTGCAACATTTATGGATATTTATCCATAACTTATGGACATTGGTCAACTCCCCCTATGGACCAATACTTATGTGTTATCTTTTTTTTGTGTTTGAACCGTTTGATTCTCTGATGTTTGTTGGCGAAGTCAATGGTTTTGTTAAGTCCTCTGAGATAACTACTGGCGTGATTTAGGGCTGTACAAGAATAAAATTGAATTAAATATAAGCAAAAGAATCAGTTCACATGATACTATTAATGTGATCTGATTGGTGGCATGTGAATTCACATCTTACAACATACAGTATGCTTCCCCCAAAGAGCATCCAAGCCCTCTTCATTCAATAGTTAAAGGTACCTTGTTAGAATTATCTGCCCACGTTATTGCCTTTCCATTCATTTCAAACTGGTTTCCATCTGGGGGGAAAGCATCATAGCTTCCAACAGCAACAAATGCAATCCCCCCCTGTTCACTGTATTGCCAGTTCACAAGCTTGTACGTTGCAGAAGGGTCGCCATTTTCATCAAAATGTACTGTTTCACCAGTTTCCATTGTGAATTTTACTTGCTGAAGTCTTTCCACAACCTACACAACGTAATGCAGATCACGAGTATTTTACATTGCCTTTTACACCGCACACAACTTGCAGTCTTACTCTGTTTGTATCCGTAGAATTCAGTGGAGTGCATCCTCGATCAGTACATTTGAATTGACTGTGGAAAGCATGAGCCACTGCATACACTGCTTTGTAGACATTGTGTGATATACGTAGCTCAGATACATCAGTGAAAGGGCTCTCAATATCTTTCAGTTGCTCGCTTCCAGTGCATATATCAGCTTGCTTACTGCCATCAAAACTACAGCCAAATGTTTCTTCCCAGAATTCCCTTAAAAGGCTGCTTTGAGGTTCCTTCATAGGGTTAACTTGAAGAAGAAATTCTTCCAAACCTAGAATACTCGACCTTGGAAGAGTAAAGCCAAGTGAACCAGTCAAGATGGCTGCGTATCTTGGACTTGCCAGATAACCAGCAGTGATCCAAGACTCACTGCCCACCCACTGCACTCTTCTCATGTTCTGCTTTTGAGCTTCCTCCAACAAAAGAAGCATTTCAACCTGCGCAAGAAATGCAACCAAAACATTGGCCGTTCCTTGATGGATCATTTTGACCACGCTGGCAACATTTCCAATTGGATCAGTTCTGGAAATGGCTTCTGAATACTCGACACACACTCCTTCCCGCGCCGCTGCAGTGATAAAGGTTGCCATGCCGTTGTTGCCATAGTCATTGTCGCTTCTAACGGCACCAACCCAGGTCCAACCAAAGTGCTTGATGAGTTTGGCAAGAGCCCGACTCTGGTAAAAATCACTGGGAATTGTCCTGAAGAATGTGGGGTACTGCTTTCTGTTACTCAGACAGGCACAGGTGGCAAAATGGCTGATCTAAAAGCAAAATAGACACAGACATTTTGTATGCATTCATTCCAAACACACAGCAGAAACTATGAACAACTTCGACACAAGATTTTCTTCAAAACATCAAAATAATTCTATTAATTCAGTAATTTTAGCAACAGATATTCCAATAAATGTACTATTTTCACCACATCTAACAAGGACAGAAAATGGAAAAATAGATTGTCTTATTGGATTATGGGGAATTGAGTGTTAAAGCTAAAAATGTGTTAAAGCTTTGAGCAAAACTGAATGAATTGTGATAAATAAATGCATTGGAAAAATTAAAAAAATCAGAAGAAAAGTCATATGAAATTAAATACCACACACACAACGAGTCATTTACCACTGGTATATTGAATATTCCAGCCATCTGCAGCATCACAATGGTGGATGAGGACTCAGAGGCTCCGATGATGGCCTGGACCGCAGACGCACCTGAGCATGTGCCCCCCCTGTGCAACTCCTGTCCATTCAGAAGAGCCATAACTGCTCGCTGCGGCGAATCACAACTGTCCAACACTTTATAACCAATGGAAATGTTGGGCAGAAGAACACCACTGCTGTTTATCTCCTCTATGGCAAAAATCATTGTGTGGGCAAATCTGAACTCCCGAGCATCTATCCTAAAGTATAGACATTTCTATCAAAAATATTTCAAATTAATTTACTGTACATCATTTTCCCTTTACCTGGTGCATCTCAAAGGCTCTGGAACATCTGTAAAAGATGATGTAGTTGAAGAGATTTGGGTACGCAGAGAGAAGGCCCCCCCGATCAAGATATCACCATCTTTATAGAAATGAGGACGTTCCAGGGACCCCAACATTTTGCAGTCATTTTGTTCTTCAGTAGCTTTAAGAGGTCCAAGAGAAATCAACAGTAACAACATGTAATTGTGGCTCGAGTTCACCGGCATTATGACATTTGACAAACAGATACCATCCAGATATCCAGCCAGAGATGCAATGGACTGATATTTATAGCGCTCGATGTTGAAAAAACGATGGGTGCTATTAATAAAGGGTGACGTTACATGGGCTACTACATTCCCCTGGAGATTACCAGTAAATCATGCACAATCATTAAGAAAAAAAAGGAAAGTTACCATATCAGAAAAGGTTTATGTAAAAAAATATGTGATGATTTAAATAAAGTACATTTTAAAAGGGCAGGCTCCTTTTGTGGCACCGGCACCTGCCACAGCTGATCAGTGGCATGTACACAACAAATGGCGTTTAAAACGGTATGTGGACAACAAGTGGCGTTTAAAACGGCATGTGGGGAATAAATGGCGTTTAAAACGACATGTGGGGAATAAAGGGCGTTTAAAACGGCATGTGGACAACAAGTGGCGTTTAAAACGGCATGTGGACAATAAATGGCGTGTAAAACGGCATGTGGACAACAAGTGGCGTTTAAAACGGCATGTGGACAACAAGTGGCGTTTAAAACGGCATGTGGGGAATAAATGACGTGTAAAGCGGCATGTGGACAACAAGTGGCGTTTAAAACGGCATGTGGGGAATAAATGGCGTGTAAAGCGGCATGTGGACAACAAGTGGCGTTTAAAACGGCATATGGGGAATAAATGGCGTGTAAAGCGGCATGTGGGCAATAAATGGCGTTTAAAACGGCATGTGGGGCATAAATGGCGTGTAAAGCGGCATGTGGGCAATAAATAGCGTTTAAAACGGCATGTGGACAACAAGTGGCGTTTAAAACGGCATGTGGACAACAAGTGGCGTTTAAAACGGCATGTGGGGAATAAATGGCGTGTAAAGCGGCATGCGGACAACAAGTGGCGTTTATAACGACATGTGGGGAATAAATGGCGTGTAAAGCGGCATGTTGACAACAAGTGGCGTTTAAAACGGCATGTGGACAACAAGTGGCGATTAAAACGGCATGTGGGGAATAAATGGCATGTAAAGCGGCATGTGGACAACAAGTGGCGTTTAAAACGGCATGTGGGGAATAAATGGCGTGTAAAGCGGCATGTGGACAACAAGTGGCGTTTAAAACGGCATATGGGGAATAAATGGCGTGTAAAGCGGCATGTGGGCAATAAATGGCGTTTAAAACGGCATGTGAACAACAAGTGGCGTTTAAAACGGCATGTGGACAACAAGTGGCGTTTAAAACGGCATGTGGGGAATAAATGGCGTGTAAAGCGGCATGCGGACAACAAGTGGCGTTTATAACGGCATGTGGGGAATAAATGGCGTGTAAAGCGGCATGCGGACAACAAGTGGCGTTTATAACGGCATGTGGGGAATAAATGGCGTGTAAAGCGGCATGTTGACAACAAGTGGCATTTAAAACGGCATGTGGACAACAAGTGGCGTTTAAAACGGCATGTGGGGAATAAATGGTGTGTAAAGCGGCATGTGGACAACAAGTAGTGTTTAAAACGGCATGTGGGGAATAAATGGCGTGTAAAGCGGCATGTGGACGACAAGTGGCGTTTAAAACGGCATATGGGGAATAAATGGCGTGTAAAGTGGCATTTGGGCAATAAATGGCGTTTAAAACGGCATGTGGGGAATAAATGGCGTGTAAAGCGGCATGTGGCCAATAAATGGCGTTTAAAACAGCATGTGGACAACAAGTGGCGTTTAAAACGGCATGTGGACAACAAGTGTCGTTTAAAACGGCATGTGGGGAATAAATGGCGTGTAAAGCGGCATGCGGACAACAAGTGGCGTTTATAACGGCATGTGGGGAATAAATGGCGTGTAAAGCGGCATGTGGACAACAAGTGCCGTTTAAAACGGCATGTGGGGAATAAATGGCGTGTAAAGCGGCATGTGGACAACAAGTGGCGTTTAAAACGGCATATGGGGAATAAATGGCGTGTAAAGCGGCATGTGGGCAATAAATGGCGTTTAAAAACGGCATATGGGGAATAAATGGCGTGTAAAGTGGCATTTGGGCAATAAATGGCGTTTAAAACGGCATGTGGGGAATAAATGGCGTGTAAAGCGGCATGTGGCCAAAAATGGCGTTAAAACGGCATGTGGGGAATAAATGGCGTGTAAAGCGGCATGTGACAAGTGGCTGTAAAGCGGCATGGACAATGGCGTTTAAAACGGATGTGGACAATAAATGGCGTTTAAAACGGCATGTGGCCAATAAATGGCAAAACGGCATGTGGACAACAAGTTTTAAAACGGCATGTGGACAACAAGTGTCGTTTAAAACGGCATGTGGGGAATAAATGGCGTGTAAAGCGGCATGCGGACAACAAGTGGCGTTTATAACGGCATGTGGGGAATAAATGGCGTGTAAAGCGGCATGTGGACAACAAGTGGCGTTTAAAACGGCATGTGGGGAATAAATGGCGTGTAAAGCGGCATGTGGACAACAAGTGGCGTTTAAAACGGCATATGGGGAATAAATGGCGTGTAAAGCGGCATGTGGGCAATAAATGGCGTTTAAAACGGCATGTGGGGCATAAATGGCGTGTAAAGCGGCATGTGGGCAATAAATGCTGTTTAAAACGGCATGTGGACAACAAGTGGCGTTTAAAACGGCATGTGGACAACAAGTGGCGTTTAAAACGGCATGTGGGGAATAAATGGCGTGTAAAGCGGCATGCGGACAACAAGTGGCGTTTATAACGGCATGTGGGGAATAAATGGCGTGTAAAGTGGCATGCGGACAACAAGTGGCGTTTATAACGGCATGTGGGGAATAAATGGCGTGTAAAGCGGCATGTTGACAACAAGTGGCGTTTAAAACGGCATGTGGACAACAAGTGGCGTTTAAAACGGCATGTGGGGAATAAATGGCGTGTAAAGCGGCATGTGGACAACAAGTGGCGTTTAAAACGGCATGTGGGGAATAAATGGCGTGTAAAGCGGCATGTGGACAACAAGTGGCGTTTAAAACGGCATATGGGGAATAAATGGCGTGTAAAGCGGCATGTGGGCAATAAATGGCGTTTAAAACGGCATGTGGACAACAAGTGGCGTTTAAAACGGCATGTGGACAACAAGTGGCGTTTAAAACGGCATGTGGGGAATAAATGGCGTGTAAAGCGGCATGCGGACAACAAGTGGCGTTTATAAAGGCATGTGGGGAATAAATGGCGTGTAAAGCGGCATGCGGACAACAAGTGGCGTTTATAACGGCATGTGGGGAATAAATGGCGTGTAAAGCGGCATGTTGACAACAAGTGGCGTTTAAAACGGCATGTGGACAACAAGTGGCGTTTAAAACGGCATGTGGGGAATAAATGGTGTGTAAAGCGGCATGTGGACAACAAGTAGTGTTTAAAACGGCATGTGGGGAATAAATGGCGTGTAAAGCGGCATGTGGACAACAAGTGGCAATTAAAACGGCATATGGGGAATAAATGGCGTGTAAAGTGGCATTTGGGCAATAAATGGCGTTTAAAACGGCATGTGGACAACAAGTGGCGTTTAAAACGGCATGTGGACAACAAGTGTCGTTTAAAACGGCATGTGGGGAATAAATGGCGTGTAAAGCGGCATGCGGACAACAAGTGGCGTTTATAACGGCATGTGGGGAATAAATGGCGTGTAAAGCGGCATGTTGACAACAAGTGGCGTTTAAAACGGCATGTGGACAATAAATGGCGTTTAAAACGGAATGTGGACAATAAATGGCGTTTAATACGGCATGTGGGCAATAAATGGCGTTTAAAACGGCATGTGGGGAATAAATGGCGTGTAAAACAAATACAGTTGAAAGCAGCCTGTACAAAAGACAACAAGCAGCACTATTGGAGATAGTGGTCCAGTGGCTCAGATGGAAAAGCACAGGTCTATGGTGTTGATGGTTGCTAGTTCAAATCCCCAGTGACTACCAATGACATTTGCTGATGTTGGGTCCTTAGGCATAACACTTCATGGAGAATGTCAGAAGTGCCATAAGTTGTTTGAAAAATTTAGTTTGAGTTATAATAAATTAAATTTAAAATTTGTTGAAAGACTTAATTTCATGTATTATTTGTGGTTTAGATTCTGAAGAACTGTACATTCCTGTGGCACAATTGGTTTATATCTGTCTCTTATGTGGAAGATTCCTGGTTCAATTCCAGGTCTGGTCTTTATTTTTTTATTGTCAGATTAAATACAAATTGAATATGTATTAATATATATTTCATACATATGGCTATGTGTTGTTGCAATAGTAATCTTGCATTAGGATTAATATTGCATCATCGTTAGGGTAAAACTAAATGATGTGTAAAACACTCAAGACACAATTTTAAAACCACCTGGTGTGTGTCCGCCAATCATGCAAGAGTTCGCAGATTCAAATCCAGTCAAGATCAAAAACTTTTTTATGACGGTTATTTCTTTATACATTTATATATCTATAAATATCTATACATATCTTTATATATATATATATATATACAGTTTTTATATAACTGCCATTAAAAAAAAAAAAAAAACGGTACTTTGATTCGATCAGCCAATCTTACGCACTACAGACGAATGTTTAATGACTGCGCCACTTATTTTGTGTTTTGGTAAAGAAAAAACCGAAAGATTCTATTGTTGTTTTAGGACATTTCATCAAGAATGGAGCCAACCAAAGATGGTGAAGAGTGATGGATTGAAAAATACAAGCAGAAAGTTGTGTAATTGGAACATGGGGTTTCATCTCTATATTGTTAAAATCTTCATTTCTGTTCTTGGACCGTTTAAGCTGTGTCTTATACTTTGCATTCTTTTATAAAAAAAAAATATATGTATTAATGCTCTTTCTTATTGTTCCATGTTTCTGATGTGGTTTTATTAAAGAAGAGAGAGAAATAAAATTATTTTTTCTTTTGTTTTATTTATATATATATATATATATATATATATATATATATATATATATATATATATAATGTCATACATATTAAATTTGTATTTAATCTGACATAAAAAAAACAACATCCTGCCCTGGATTTGAACCAGGTATCTTCCACATGAGAGGCGGTTATAAACCAAGTGCGCCACTGGATGACACTGCTCCTGTGGAATTTAAACTATATATAATACATGAAATTAAGTCTTTCAACACATTTATGCAATAACATATATTATTATTACTCAAACAACATTTTTCAAACAATTTATGGGCCTTCTGACATTCTTCATGAAGTGTTAGGCCCAAGGACCCAATATCAGCAAATGTCATTCCCCACATGCCGTTTTAAACGCCACTTGTTGTCCACATGCAGCTTTACACGCCATTTATTCCCCACATGCCGTTTTAAACGCCACTTGTTGTCCACATGCCGCTTTACACGCCATTTATTCCGCACATGCCGTTTTAAACGCCACTTGTTGTCCACATGCCGCTTTACACGCCATTTATTCCCCACATGCCGTTTTAAACGCCACTTGTTGTCTACATGCAGCTTTACACGCCATTTATTCCCCACATGCCGTTTTAAACGCCACTTGTTGTCCACATGCCGTTTTAAACGCCACTTGTTGTCCACATGCCGTTTTAAACGCCACTTGTTGTCCACATGCTGTTTTAAACGCCATTTGTTGTGTACATGCCACTAATCAGCTGTGGCAGGTGCCGGTGCCACAAAAGGAGCCTGCCCTTACTGCAAAAGTGGCCAAAATGACGTGCGCTGACATGCTTGCAATACCAGCCCGGGCCGATGGGGGTGGACCCAGAAGTAGAATTAGCCAATGCTAACATATAGCGTTGGCAGACCTCTCAAAAACGCCTTTACAGGATGGACAAAAAGTTGGCTCTTGGCCCAAAGCTCCGTTCTACATGTGTGTCAATGCTGAGGGGGGTGATTTTTTTGGACCACTATAGTTTACTTGCTGTGAATTTCTGAAGTCTCTCGTTCAAATGAATGGAGCTGCGCCAGCTGACGCATGCGCAGATGCGTTTTTTCACCATTTTCTTGTGGGCGGGACCAAGCCATTTTGGATTGCTCCAGTAGAGCAAATGTTTTGGCCCATTAGTTAGAACGGCGGAGATAGGCGTGACTCTGTCCGTTAATATATACAGTCTATGGTCAAGACACAAACGCAAGATGGCTCCCCTCCAGGTCGCCAAGGTGTACAAAAACTCAAATCAATTGAAACAATCAATGTTTGTGTTTTGTTTATTTTATTTATTTAAACTAATAAATAAAATAATGGCGCTTTATTTTGCCATCAGAAACTTTTTTGTGTTCAGTTCAGGTTTGAAAACAATTATATGACATTTTGGTGCGAAAATACAAAAGAGCATTCCATAACTTGAGGCGAGAATAGCAAATATCTCCACAGCGACGGTGAACTTTCCTGGAGAGCTGACGTAAGCCGGGATAAACGTGATCCAGACGGCACAGAAGATCAACATGCTGAAGGTGATGAATTTGGCCTCGTTGAAATTATCCGGGAGTTTACGAGCCAAGAACGCCAACACAAAACACAGCAAAGCCAACAGGCCTATGTATCCCAGAACTGCCCAGAAGCCAATAGGAGACCCTAATGCACACTCTAAAATAATCCTGTCTTTATAATGCAACAGGTTTCTATTCGGAAACGGCGGGTTTATTGTTAACCATAAGATACAGATTACAACCTGCACTAGTGTGAACGCAACAACACTGAGTCTCTGCTGAAGAGGCCCGAACCATTTCATGACATTACTGCCTGGGAGTGTGGCTCTAAAGGCCATGAGCACCACTATAGTCTTCCCCAGAACACAGGAGATACAGAGGACAAAGGTGATGCCGAACGCAGTGTGGCGCAGCATGCAGGACCACTCAGAGGGACGTCCCATGAAGGTGAGAGAGCACAGGAAGCACAGGCTCAGCGAGAACAGCAGCAGGAAGCTCAGCTCAGAGTTGTTGGCTTTAACCAGAGGAGTTTCTTTGTGGTAATAAAACAAAATGGCTGCTGATATTGTCAACATGGCACCCAAGACAGTGAAAAACACAAGTACTTTGCACATGACATCATTAAAGGTAAGGAATTCAATGCTTTTGATAATACACATAGTTCGGTTTTCATTGGACCAGAATTCCTCAGAACATTTAATGCAGCCATTAGAATCTGCAAAGAAAAATAAGTTACAACATATACAAAAAGTATTTCAAAAACATTAAGAGCAGGCATAAAGGTTGAAAGAATATTCCAATGTTCATACTGATGCACTTCAGATGCACAGACGTCCTTGTACCTGTGGTGTTGCTAATCTCTCCTTCTGGACATGGGCTGCAGTCATAGCAACAAACAGGCCTCCCTTTCTGCAAAACTTTGTGAGTTCCAGGAAGGCAACGGTCACTACACTGTGACACTGGGACCTGTAGAAAGCATTTTAAAAGAGGTTACTAAAAAGAGAGATTTTGCAGATTTTGTTAGATTGACTTCTCAAATCAGTGACCTAATAATGTAAATCAAAGCAACTTGCCTTTGCAGTATTACAGTGTATTAAATTGTATTCAAAACAAGAGTAATCGTTGTTATTGCTGTTGTGGTTATTATGTGAAAATAACCACAACAGCAATAACAACATACACAGAAAAAAGTCATAGTTTAATGTGACAGCTTTCTCAATCAAGCTTAAAGGGTTAAAGAACAACACTCTTTTGGACAATACTGCTTCCATGTTCATCTGTAATGTTTTTGGTATAATAATAATAGTCCTGGACAATGCTTACAATCTGTATTGGTTTTGTAGCACTTGCCTGTGTCTTTCCTTCAGGCCATGTTATCTGTTCAGTTTGCAGGACAAACTTCTGCCCCGGAGGTAGAGAAGCATCATAGTTCCCCACAGGTTTAAACTCAATGGATCCATTTGGTCCACTCTTCCAGTTTATGACCTCATACCGGGCCACAGTCGCCCCTGTGTTGTCAAACCAAACTTGCTCTCCATTTTTTGTGGTAAAATTGACCGTCTTCAGAGACTTAACAACCTAAGAATTGAAAAACAGCGGTGTTACGTTCTGTTTATTTTATTTTTACCAAAACTCACCGTCCTAAACCTCAAAACATAATTGTAGATGATATTTGACATGTTTTACCTGGCCTGGTGTGACATTCATATTCCGGTCACAGCTGTGATTGTCAGAGCAGTTGAGTAAGCTGCGCAGAGAGTGAGCCACGGCGTAAATAGCCTTGTATATGTTTGTGGAGTACCTCAGTTCTTCCACATCGTTCACATACTCTTTCAGATTGTACAGAAAATGATTGTCACTACATTTGTCGATTTCCATCTCATTTCCCTTGGCATAGCGACACATTATGTCTGTCTCCCAGTAATCTCGGAGTAGAAAGCTATCATGACCTGTGATATTTGCTTTTGGTACAGCAAAACCAAGCGCTCCCCCCAGCACTTTGAAGCTGGTGGGGGTGATGAGGCTATCTGCTGTCATCCAGCTCTCCACTCCAATGAACTGAAGGCCTGTCACACTTTGCAAACTCATTTCCTCTAAAAATCCATTCATTTCCACGTGAGAGAGAAACGCCACAATGACTTTAGCTGTCCCTTTCTTGACAACTTCCACCACTTTCTTCAACTTCTCAGGTTCAGTCCTATGAAATTTCTCAGAGTATTCCACACATATTCCTTCTTTCTGGGCAGCAGTAAGAAAAATGGCCATTCCGTTGTTGCCGTATTCGCTGTCACTGTTCACTGTGCCCACCCACGTCCAGCCAAAGTGTTTGACCAGGTGGGCAAGAGCGCGGCTTTGGTGGAGGTCACTGGCAATAGTTCTGAAGAAAGCTGGGTACTCCTTCCTGTTGCTCAGACACTCGCATGTAGCTGAGTGACTGATCTGAGAATACAGGATACAATAAAAGGAAAGTGAGGTAAAAACATTTAATCGAAGAAGAACCAAATACATATTATGTAACCAGAACACCATTAACAATTTAGAAAGCAAAGAGGAAAAGGTCCGAGGCACTCTAACGTCACTTAAAAAATATTTATTGTTAAAGTGACATAGCTTCACAATAAAGAATAAGTTAAAGTCAGAGTTCCTCGGAACTTTTTCTCTTTGCTTTCTACATTATTTTCCCACGGATCTGCAAAGAGCACCTGACTTCTCACGTTTACCCAGTATTATATATTTACTGTATGAGCACCGTAGGCACTAAAGATTTGGGCGTTCTATTATATATTCTTGTGAAATGTTACACATTTGTAGTTACTAGTTTTATTCCATTGCACTTGTTGAAATTTGAAGAAAAAGACCATTTTGCTTTGACGGTTGCACTACAGTAGCCTGACCAGACACCAGCCTGGTAAGGCTAGAAATATAGACCAAGCTTCACAAACCAAGATTTGTAAAGCTTCCATATCCTGAACCTTATGGCAAAAAGTCTATTCTACACCATTATGTTTAATATTGATGTTATATTCGTAGACTACCCAGTAGTATCTAATCCATATTCTGGATTAGATAAATAGATTGGACACTCCTTCTGTTTGTACAGATTCAAGAAAATGTTACACTACATATACATCATTGTTCTATATACTTTTCCAGGTAAAGTAAACAGCATCTACTGACAGTAAAATGTTCCTCTCACCACTGCAAGCTCAAACGGGCCGGTGGTGCGAGATAGGACCACAGTGGCTGAAGATTCAGACTGTCCTATAACGGCGAGCACGGAACATTTCCCACTGCCCTCCGCCGCCCTCCCGTTCATCAGGCCCATGACGCTCCGCATAGACCTCAGGGTGGAGCCACAGTTGTCAAAAATTCGAAATCCTAGAGAAATGTTTGGAAGAAGACCATTTCTGTTGATTTCTTCAATGGCAAAAATCATGGTCTGGGCAAACCTAAATTCTCTCAGGTTAATGCTGAAACAAGACAAAATTAAAAATAAATATGGGTTTCAATAATACACAGAGTATTTTTATTTTTTTCCATTTCACATCCAATACTACATAATCTCATGACGGTTTACATGGTACAATTATACACATGATCTGAACAGTACTAATACAAATTCAGATTATGCGTTATTAGTTACAATACATGGTACCAAGTCCTTTGTATACAAGAGAACAACCAATTGTGTCTAAAGTTACCTAGAGCATGGAAGGTGAGCCGGTTTTTCAGTAAACAGTAGTGGCAGCTGTGACACTTGGCTGTGTATAGAGAAAGCTCCCCCGATAATGATGTCTCCAGGTTTGGACAGAAGCGGTAACTCTGGACTGTCTATGCTCTCACACCCATGCTCCTGTCCCAGCACTCTGCCCACGGCAAACATAAGCACCACCTCTACCACTGCAAAAGACATGGTGTGTTTAGAATCATTCACTTTTCAAAACTAATTATAATGAGGCCAGAAGTTATGCGTCACAACTTCAAACCAATCAGGGTTAGGGCTGGGCTTTTCCAACAAATTAAGACTTTTAGTCATATGTTAATTATGTGGCCATAATTAATATACTAAAGCAAACAACCAGTGCAATACTAATGGAATGTATGTCCAAGTCTCTAAAATAACCTATTTCATTATCAAATCAAATCAATACATTTTGGTATAGCCCAAAAAAACAACAACATACAAACAATGAAAACAGTTATTAGTTCTTGAAGAAACCATACTTCAAAGCAATTGTGCAAATGGATAAATATTTTTGCTTTTTACTTTTTTTAAAATAGTCTGAACTTCTACTTCAGACAATGTCTTACAAGGTACCTGTGTTTGGTGTATGCTCTCATTATCTATTGTGGATTTTTTCTGTGCTCTAACAGAAATAATATATATTGTATATCTTAGTCACTGCTCATTCTCCACCACCTTTGGAGGATTTTCCCATCATGCCTTTGGAGCTCTCATTTTCAGAGAGAAGGCCTGTCTCACATCTTCAGGAAGATTGTTCCAGATTTTAGCAGCATGAATCTGAAAAGCTGCCTCCCCATGTTTAGTTCTGACTCTGGGCACTAACAGGAGTCCAGTCCCTGTGCTCCTCAGAGTCCAGGCTGGTTCATATGGGACTAACATGTCACTAATATATTTTGGTGCGAGGCCATGGAGAGACTTGTACACAAGCAGAGCTGTTTTAAAGTCTATTCTCTGAGCCACAGGAAGCCAATGCAGAGACCTGAGGACCGGACTAATATGGTCGTACTTCCTGGTTCTAGTCAGGACTCGAGCTGCTGCATTTTGGATGTACTGCAGCTGTTTTACAGCCTGTTTGGACAGACCTGTGAGCAGGCCATTGCAGTAGTCTAACCTACTGGAGACAAATGCATGGATAAGAATCTCCAAGTCTGCTTTAGACACTATGTTTTTGATCCTGGCGATGTTTTTTAGATGGTAAAAAGCTGCTGATGTTACTGATTTGATGTGGCTATTAAAATGTAAGTCTGAGTCCAGTATTACCCCTAGATTTCTGACCTGGTTTGAAGGTTTTAGGGAGAGAGACTGTAGATGACAGATGACGCTCTCTCTTTGTTTCTGGACCAAAAACAATCATTTCGGTTTTGTTTGCGTTTAGCTGAAGGAAGTTATTTTGTATCCACTCACTGATCTGTTGGATACAGTGAAGGAGTGAGTCCACTGGTCCATGTTCTCCTGCAGTCAGTAAGACATAGATCTGAGTGTCGTCTGCATAGTTGTGATAGGACACTTTGTTTCTGCGTATTAACTGACCTAACGGCAACATGTAGAGATTGAACAGAAGAGGTCCCAGGATCGACCCCTGTGGTACTCCACAGGTCAGGGCCATATGATCTGAGACACAGTTTCCAATCTCCACAAAGTACTTCCTGTCTTCAAGGTAAGACCTAAACCAACTTAGGGCGGTGCCAGCGACGCCAACCCAGTCCTCTAGTCTCTGTAAGAGGATCTCATGGTCGACAGTGTCAAAGGCAGCACTTAGATCTAACAGAATTAGGATTGAGACTTTGCCTGCGCATTTTTACCTTTAATAGTGCCAATATTTCCATCTAGAAAAGGCTGTTTTGCTGCTGAAGTCCTGTTCACTCTTCATCTCTCTCTGTGCTGTAAAGCCCGCCACTGTGAATGTGGAAACACCGGTGAAGCACTGACTTCAGCCCAATCAGATGAACATATATATCATATAAATCAAGTGGACAGTTTGTTTGGCTACAGCAAAATATGTTTCATGCATTGTTTGTTCATACAAAACGCAAAACTGTGAGTTATGGGTCTTACCTTATAAATGACCTGCACAAGCCACTTCGGTTCGACCAGTTCCATGTTTAAGTCCAGATAATAGTTTGAGCGTAGATACGTAATCCTCCATTTGGAAATGAGTCCAATGAGTTTTAAAAAGTAAAACAAAACGCGTGTGTCCTCCATAAACTCCTGTGTTTTGCTAGCGGCAGCCGAGTGCATCCAATTTCTAAAATCAACCGTCTTCACCTTCACCTCTCTTTCTTATCATTCCTATAGTAATTGAAAAATTACCCTATGTGCATTTTACATTATGTAAAAATGTGTTATATGTATGTTAGCCAAACCTGTTGCTGTCCTTAGCAGATAAACCAGGAAGAGAAAGGAGCTTATCGATGGAATTGTATGCAGTCGACTTCTGCGCTCTCATGAGCTCCTCTGAGGCCTCACGGTGATACAAGCCGTGGATGAGCGCGATTAAGACCCATATTTGTTTCAAAAACACAATTTATGAGCCATCCTCTCAGCTGTAGACATGTAGATTGTAAAGGAAATATGATATACATCAGCCAATAATTGCTGAGAGGTTTTCTCATCCTCCCTTCTCTCATGACAACACGTTCATTGTGCGTCTTGAGTAACGCGCAGTAACGGGATGTCGGAAATGATAACGGCGTTATAGTTACTGTCAAAGTAATTAGTTAGATTACTCGTTACTGAAAACAGTAACGGCGTTAGTAACGCCGTTACTAGTAACGCCGTTATTCCCATCACTGGTTAGGAAGAGCCAAACACTAGATGTCAAGTTGACCCAGAAGGAATGAGGCAAAACATATTTGGGAACAAGTGATTAGGAAACATCCGGTTTGCTTTTAGTTATCCGGCCACTGCCAAGACTTCCATGTATGTAACAGGACGAAGAGTTTATCAGACAGGAGAAAGAGAAGCAGAGCCAGTCTTGTGCACGGACTCCATGCTGACTGACGGTTTTCCTCATGCTGAAACTAAATGAATAAAAAGCACTCTCTTAACTTTAATTTCAGCTTTTGGTGAAAGTTATTTGAATTAAAAACCACTACAAACACAAAAAATACACAGAAATGATCCGAAAGAGCAACATCGACCACGTTTACATTAGAAATGTTCACCCCCTTTGTAACTAACAGGTCTAGAGTGTGCCCTCTGCTGTGGGTGGGGCCACTCACGTGCTGAGTGAGACCAAAAGATTCAAGAACAGAACTTAGCTCTTTTGCATTTCTGTCATTAACATTATCCACATGAATATTAAAAACCCCTGTAATAACTAAGCTATCAAAATCTGTGCATACAACTGAAAGCAACTCTGTAAAATTATCAATAAAACTGTGACATGACTGCGGTGGCTTGTATAGGACTATGAAAAGTATTGGAGGAGATTGTTTTTGTTGTATTTTAAAAGACACATATTCAAAAAACGGAAACTTCCCAAGAGACATTCTATGGGAGACAAAGTGGTCTCTGAAAATGGCAGCTAAGCCACCCCCCTTTCTGTTTTCACGTATTTCAGATTCAAATTTGAAATTTGGTGGTGATGCTTTTATTAAAACTGCATTTTCTGTATTTTGGTCAAGCCATGTTTCAGCCATGAACATAAGATCAAGATTATAAGAACAAACAAAATTATTGATTAAAAAAGACTTGTTACAAAGAGATCTGACATTTAGCATAGGAAGTTTCAAAGTTTCAGTATCAGCGGTTGTGGTCGGCTGATTCTTACACGGAACAAGAATTAGATTTTCCTGATTAGACTGATTAACTTCAGATGTTTTTCTGTTATGTATTCTTTGTGTTATCACTAAGGGAATGGCACAGGTGGCTTTATGACAGGGCCCCAGCGCCCTGTGTTGGATCGTCTGTAAATTTCTCCAGTGTGAGATCAATAAAGTCTATATTATCTCATCTCAGGTGCCTCTTTGCACAACCGACACCTTGGGTCTTGTCTGGTGTGGTATATCTGGGCCTCTATCACTCTGGTGCTCAGGGCCTGTTCCTGTGCAGCCATGATGAGTGCCTCTGTGCTGTCCTGTAGGCCAGCCCTTTCTAGCCATTGGTAGGACTTCTTGAGATCAGCCACTTTTGCTATGTTCTTGTGGTACACGCCGTGTAGGGGCTTGTCCTCCCATGATGGGCTCTCCTCCAGCACTTCCTCATCTCGCCACTGTCTGAGACATTCACTGAGTACATCATCCGTTTGGGCTTTCTCCATGATGTAGTTATGGGGTTTGGATGCTTCATCTAACACTCACTAATCCTCTGGCTCGGTCTTTACAGTTAGCATACAGTATTGTAAATTTATTACAATTTATACATTTAATAAATTTAAATTTATTACATTTATTACATTATTATTGTATTAAAAAAATACAATAAATAAAAGTTTGGCAAAATAACTTAATAGCATTATTTACAGTCAAAACTGTTTGTTTACTTACATTTAAACTGTGATTGACAGTACATATTATGACATGAAAAAGTAACTGTTCTTTTGACAGCTCATTCAAACAACAAAACACAAAACCAAAACAGGTGATTAGTTGGTGCAATGAACTGTGATGTTTTTGTTGTTTTGGCAGTTGACACACATAATGTAATGATGAATAATGTTTGTGCCATTGCTAAATGTCAAAGGCTCCTCAGTCTCTCAAGATAACCACGTCTCCCTCTAGTGAGCACTTCTCTTCCACACATCATGTTTACGTCACTTTGAAAAGAAACTGAAAGCTCTTCTAAAAAAATAAACTAATAATAATGACAGAAATCATAAACATATACATGCATTTATAATGATCTTATTGTGACAATATGTATAATATATATATATATATATATGTCGTCTCTTATCTTGATTAACAAAACCTTTAATACCAACTTGGCAGAACGACTACTATTGATTCATCTTAACTGACTAATATTAAAAAGGAAAAGCATGCTTTGTTTTCTGATGTATTTTAAGATTTGATTTAATAATTACCTTTCGTCGTTAGGAAAACACTACATTTTGGTTAAATGTTCAATATAAAGTTTTGGGTGCAGTTCTTTATTTACGGTGGCAGCAAACTGCATGTATTTTGCAAACTGCATGTATTTTGCCCCTTTTCTTTCGGCACTAAAAAATAAATAAATAAAAATAAGTCAAGGTAAATGTATTCGTATAGCACAGTGCTTCCCAAAATGGGGTCAGTGGCTGCAGATGCACTGCATTTAGTATTTCAACCAAATTTACAAATTGACTATGGCACTTATTACAAAACAAAAACTTAAATTGTGAATGTTACTATATGTATTAGAAATGTAAAAGTAAAACCGTTACATATACTTTACTTCAGCAAAGTGAGATTCATTATTGGGTTTCCCCCATAGATGTTTCGATCGTGAAGGAGGGTCACAGTGCTGTGGACTATGGGAACTACTCAAGCACAATTCATACACAGCTCAAAGTGCTTTAAATAAATTATTTTGTAAAGCCTGTAGACTACAGAAGCTCTCTCGCACTGACAGAAACTATTCTGGAGAAGAAATGTAGATTCTTTAGGATAAGGAAAAGGGTGTATTTCTAATTAGAAGTTCATTATTTTTCATTAGTTAGCATTAAAACATGAAGGAAATGTTAACATTTGATGCAATTAGAATCATGTTTAAACACATTTTGATAATAAGATTCTGGTTATATCGCTTTTTTTGACACTCAAAACACTCTTAACAGGGTGGTGATAAATTACTACTATAGCTACAGCTTCCCTGGAGGGGCCTTCCATCACAGTACTAGGCTTCCATATGCAGGTGGCACTTCAAACCTGCTGATGACATCCTGTGATTCCCCACACTGTGAGGCTGTAACCTGGATGCCATAATAATCCACGTCATCTGCATGTTCCAACAGAGATGATTCACAGGCTCTGACCACATCCCAGACTGATGACCACGTCAATGTAAACAATGTCCTGCGGAGCCAAATGATCAATGTCACTCAACCCCAGGCACATGTGAGGAGCTGTGAAATGTTATGTCTGACCATTCAAACTGTAATGCAAATTATAATAACGTATTATTATACCTAACAACTCCAGATCCATATTTTTTTCTCAGAAGTACCAATGCTGGACTTAGTTGAGCTTTAGCAACACACAGTTTTCCACCTGCTCACCAGGGAGCGGAGCTGTCTCACTTCCAATATGTCAATCTTCTTGATTTAACCAAAAACATATTTCCTAGGCATCAATTTCAAGTGAATATCACCACCAACCTTTAACAAGTTGAAACCATAACTACAAATAATGATAGATAGATGTATTGCCTGTGATGATCTTTCTAAAAAAACAACATCATGTACCCTGCAGTAAACATACAACTACATATAGCTTACATAGTAATTTATACTTGCCGAATACTTTTTTTTAGATTTTATACTTCTTTATTATGTTAAAGATAAAGATTTTATACCTGTTTCTTTTATGCTAGTTAGATAGTTCATTTTTTTTTATTAGTATAGTTATTGTTTGACTATAGCGCAGGGCGACAGTAGCTCAGTTGGTAGAGCATCAGCCTTTGGGCCTGAAGGTCGTAGGATCAAATCCACCATGACACCTACTTCATGACTCCCACTGATGATAACCAATGATAACTGTTGTTGTGTTCTTGGGCAAGACACTTAACCCCACTTTGTCTGACGCCCCTGCTGGAAGATCAAGGCTCCTGTGGACTCATGACCTGCAGGAGGATCAGTGAGGGGCTGGTGCTGTGTGCACTGGGTGCAGCTCTGACTGCCACCCCTGTGACCCAGAAATGGATTAAGTGGAAGAAAATGGATGGATGGAGTTATTTCTCATTTATCCTGTGCTGTGTGCTCCTCACTCCAACTGTTCTGTAACTGGTGAAGCAAACTCCGAAATTTCCCCACTGTGGGACGAATAAAGGATCTACCCCATATAATAATTTTCCCCAAATATCCGTTTTTTTCTGTCATTCAAATTTTATTTGGCCTTGAGAAGCTTATCTCGTTTTACCTTTATATCTTAGCTACAAACATTGACAAAACTACATTACTTAGTTTCCTTTTTTTCCCCAAACAACTTGAAACACACAACTCATCATAACTTGAGTTACATTCATCACAAGTACATTACTGAGGGCTCCTTTAATCCATTTGTGTGTTATGAATTGCTGATTGAATTAGCTGAAGATCCCACAGCGGATCTGACTGTGGGCCACAAACTGAACAGTCTGTTGTTTTTTAGGTTGTATATGGTTATATTTATTCAACCATATACTGTACTGTAGAGCAGAAAGTTTAGAAGCATTGTTGTAAAATCAAAATATATGTACAAATGAAAAAGTTTCAGTTGTTGAACTGTTTTGCGTATGTGCAAATACTTTTGTGAGGAATGTCATGCCACAGGGAGCCAAAGGACATATAGTTAATTAATTTGACAGGTGATATGCTGTCACACCTGATGCTGTGCTGCAGATCCCAGATGTCACCCTCTTGTTTGAGACAGATGCTTGTTGTTGCTTGCCCGCTCGGCCCCCTGCTGCATTTGAAGCCACTTGGGAAACCTCAGTCAACAGGTTTATGGAAAACAATGTTGCAACTTCTCTTCAGGGATAAATAAACATACTTTTGGTCTCATGAGAGGCACAACTACTGTTTCTTTAACAAACAGAAAACTTTTTAGTGATGCACTTCCTGACACTTTCAATAAGTAAATAGTACGGGAAGGGAAGTTTATTTCAATAGCACCGTTCATACACAAGGCCACTCAAAGGGCTTAACAAAACAGGATAGAAACAGTCACACAAGGCATTAAAACCATAAATAATCACAGTAAATTAAACAGGATCAGAGATTCAATCCTTCCTGTCTCTCATTTTCAGGTAGACTCTTCCAGATTTAAGCTGCATAAATCTGAAATGCTACCTCCTCATGTTTAGTACTGACTCTGGGCACCAGCAGGAAGGCAGGCCCTGTGCTCGTCACTGTTGGTTCACATGGCACTAACATATGGCTCAATAAGTTTCGAGGAGAACAGAAGAGGTCCCAGCATCGACCCTTGTGGCACTACAGTTCATGGCCATAAGATCTGTCTTCTAGATTAGGGCGAGACCAACCCTGTACTGTAGTCTCTGTCAGAGGATCTCATGGTCAACGGTGTCAAAAGCAGTACTCAGATCTAACAGGATTAAGGTCGCGACTTTCCTCAGTGTTCAGTTGGATATTGCTTGTTACTTTGACAAGAGCAGCCTGTGGTGGAAGATATCAAATGAGTTGTTGATTATTAAGACATTTGGTAAGCTGTTGTTAGACAACTTGTTCAAGGACTTTCCCCAGAAAATATATAGTATTATTGTATTGACATTTTAAAAAGTTAAAGTTAAAAAAGTGAGTAAAAATGCCAACTGGAAATGGCAATAAGACATGTGAATGAACGTTAGGGATGAAAGCGGAAAACTTTGCACATCCGACTCTGTGACAGGTGTGTAAGAGCAGGCTCCGCACACAGCTTTGCCAACTTGAAAAAGAAGACATACTGCACACTGTACTTGCATACGCCAATGGGTTGTTTTATTTACCGATGCAACATTCTGGCCGAGGGCCTTTGTCAGACAAACGGTTTTTTCCATCTTGAGGGGCCATCTTAAATAGGTGGGGCTGCCCTATTTAATGCTGCAGCCCCACCCTATTTAATACATTTTCTTGACGAAGGCCCACGGCCTGGAAATAAAATAAAACCGGTGTATGCAAGAGAGTTGTGTGTGTTCCTTTTAACATGAAATCGAGATTAAAAAACAGACAGTGGCCAAACACTGTTAAGTGTATAGTTTTCTCCAGCTTTGAATATAGCAATTACTTTAACTGATATAAAATACAGGTTTTTATTATCATTATTATTATTATTATTTTGTTCTCATCATAATGACTAACTTGTTTTTGTACGGAGGTTTACCTGAGTTCCCAGGGATCTTTAATACACATGGATTCTGCTTTTGGCCTTCTTCAGTTGACATATTCTAGAGAATGTACAGATCTCTCAGGAGATCCATTTAGCTTAATGTACATCTTATAATATGTCCAAGTAAAGATATTTATTTGTTAGGGCTTCCTTGCAATCTCTAAATTTAGCGATGTTTTATGTTTATTCATACACGTTTGAAAATTGACTGTCCAACCTCTTCGCACCTATAGTTGTACTATAGTAGCACAAAACAGTACTCCTCCGCTACTTAACTCCTTAACAGTTGTACTGAAAATGCAATTGTTTGAAAGGTTGTAATGTTTTAATCACATCACAGCAGCAGTAAGTACGACTTTTTAATGACTGTGGCTTCTGTGTCTGCTCATGTCAGACTCAGCCATCCGTGATGTTTTGAAACAACATCACCTCTGCTTTTTCCCATTTAACTCAAGTGTTCACTCACTCATCCATGTTATTGTTGTTACAAATGTGAAGCAGAAGGCCATTTTCCACTGATCAAGTGGAGGGGAACAAGATTAGAATGACAGCTCCTGCAGGTGCAGGTATATAAGATACTTGCTCCTATTTTGTACACTACACAATATGGATATTGCTTCAGCCATGCTTTGAAATGATTAAACATGGCCTCCAAAATAATATCAACAACAAAACTTGTTACATTTATTTTGGGTGTTCTTTTCCACAATTCCCTCCAGAAAGAATCAGAAGATTTTTGTCAAATAATCCCTGGTTTCATGTCGCAACAGGTGTTGCAAAGAGATGGGGACATAGTTCTGGGAGGACTCTTCTCTTTGCACGACATGGTTCTGGAACCAAGCCTCTCATTCCAGTCTGCACCCCTACAAACACAATGCACCCGGTAAGTTTTTTAGTTTCCATGCTTTTACAAAAGTTGTTTTATAAAATATCACATTTCACAGGTTTAATTTCCGGACATTTCGTTGGATGCAGACTATGATTTTTGCGATTGAGGAGATTAACCGATATGGAAGACTGCTTCCAAACTTCACTCTGGGATACAGGGTCTATGATTCCTGTAGCACCCCACACCAGGCACTGAAAGCTGCTACAGAGCTAATGGGAAGTAAACCAGAGGCCAGCGGCCCTGCAGAGGTCAGAGCTTGTCAAGGGGCCGTTCCCGTAATAATTGGAGATGGAGGATCCACCCAGTCACTCGTTGTTGCCCGCTTTCTGGGAGTTTTTTATGTGCCACAGGTAAAAAGTATGAGATTATGTAATCCACGTTGTATAATTTGTTTTACACCATTTTTTTTAAACAATAGTAGTGTGATATTGATGAACATAATTAGGGTTGTGTTTCAGGTGAGCTATTTTTCAAGCTGTGCCTGCCTCAGTGACAAAAAGGAATTTCCAGGATTTCTAAGAACAATGCCAAGTGACTCTTTTCAGGTGTATATGCCAAAAACTCATTAGGGATAGTGTTAGCTTTCTGTAATTTGTTTTATTGTATCTGTGCCATCAAGCTGAATTAGAAACTGAAAGTTCATCCACACGGTGCCTTTGGTTTTCCCCCTTTCTAAAGTATGTGAACTAATCCAGACAGTTGCTTGAATATGGAACTTTTCCATAATTCATAAAACTGCGGTAAATTAATCAAATATTTTTGTTTTAGACCCCCCCTGCAGCACCAAATGCACTCTAATCAATGTGACATATGAAAAATCCATATTACCTGAGTGATTCTTTTGACACTGTCGACTGTCGGATCCTAACAAAAGACTAGTCTAGACTAGGTCTGGGTGGGTGTCTCTAAGTCCAAATTGTTTTGATTTTACAAATAAAATTTGTTGCGCCACTCGCCCTCTCTCCCGCGTGTAAGTGTGAGCAGCGTTCAGTGTAGGGTTGCCAACACGGGCGAACTGGCCATAGGTGCATTTAGAAGAGGCCCCGAAAAGCCAATGTGACCACCAATTCTGTATTTGAAGACTAAACATCCCTGGCCAGGTTTTATTTCTTGTTTTGTGAAACAATCTTGAGTTGCCTTGTGTATACATTGTGCTAAACAAATAAACGTCCCTTGTCTAAATTCAATGGTGCTGTTTCTATTCTACAGGTTGATGCATTGGCACAGCTGGTCAAGTACTTTGGCTGGACATGGGTGGGTGTCATAGCGGGTGACGATGCTTATGGACTTGGTGGAGCCAACATATTTGCGGAAGAGGTATCTCACAGACTAACAAGTTGTTATTTTTGAAAGATATTTTAGTATAATTATGACAATCACATTTTTACTTAGGTTCAGAAGTTTGGAGCATGTGTTGCCCTCTATGAGATCATACCTAAAATCCAAACATATGACAACATTTCATATATAATCTCCAAAATTCGCTCATCAAGGGCAAAAGTCATTCTGGTATTTGCTGTTGAACAAGACGCTGAAGCCTTATTTGATGGTGCTCTGAGGTAAGCTGCTATTGTTCTTTCCAGTTTGAAATTGAGTTCCCAAGAGGACAAATAAACTATTCTATTCTATTATCTTATCATCCAGGGAAGGCCTTACTGGAATTCAATGGCTGGCAAGTGAAGCATGGAGCACAGCCGCTGTCCTGTCCACTCCCAAAAAATATCACAGCATCCTTCAAGGTTCAATGGGATTTGCAATCCGAAGAGCAGAGATACCCGGGCTGCAAGATTTTCTTCTACAGCTTCACCCATTGAAGTCTGATTCCAATCCATTTCTTATTCCGTTTTGGGAAGAGGTGTTTCAATGCCATTTTGCAGTAAAAAGTGAATTAAATAGAACTGAAAGAAAACTATGTACTGGAACAGAGGATCTAAGAAGTGTTCAAAATATATACTTAGATGTATCCCAATTAAGAATTTCTTACAATGTATACAAGGCCGTCTATGCTATTGCTAGTGCACTGAAGGCAATGCGAGACTGTGAGATGGGCAAAGGGCCTTTTGATAAGAATTCATGTCCAGATGTTAACAATATTAAAAGTTGGCAGGTACAGTACATTATCACTAAACTGTTTGCATTGTTCAACATGTGTTACATAACTTTGCTGTTTTCTTATAGTTACTTCATTACTTAAAGCAAGTAAACTTCATTACAACATTTGGAGATGAAATCAAGTTTGATGAAAATGGGGACCCAGCCGCTATGTATGACCTGGTGAACTGGCAGCTCAATTCCGATGGAGAAATGAAGTATGTCACAATTGGAAAATTTGATGAAGCCACAATTACTGGACAACTTCAGATTCAACACAACAATATCGTCTGGAATGGAAACCAAACCTATGTAAGGACTCCTGCTTCGTTTTACGTCAACGTAAATTATCTGTCATATTGCTAGAACCAATCTTTGTCATCTCCTCCTGAGGTGCCCTTGTCAGTGTGCAGCAGCATTTGTCTTCCCGGCACCCGCAAGGCAATCAAACTCAACTTTCCTATCTGCTGCCATGATTGTGTGGCTTGTACAGCTGGGGAGATTAGCAATCAGACCGGTGAGAGCAAGCGACCCGATCTCAATGCGCTCTTTTCTGTGCCCTTTACGTCACAACCACTTTCACGCTCTCTCCTCCAGATGCCATAGAGTGTGCCCGCTGCCTGCCCGAATTCTGGTCCAACGATGAGCGAACAGAGTGTATTCCAAAACAAGTAGACTTTGTGCACTTCAGCGACACCATTGGCATCACTCTAACGGCTATTTCCCTCTTCGGTTCCCTCTGCACCTGCATAGTGGTCTTCATATTCTCCTGGCACAGAAATACGGCCATAGTTAAAGCCAATAACTCTGACTTGAGCTTCTTGCTGCTCTTCTCCCTGTCCCTGTGTTTCCTGTCCTCTCTCACGTTTATTGGAGAGCCGACTCAGTGGTCCTGCATGTTCCGCCACACTGCGTTCGGCATCACCTTTGTCCTCTGCATCTCCTGTATTTTGGGAAAGACCATCGTGGTGCTGATCGCCTTCAGGGCCACACTTCCAGGCAGCAACATGATGAAGTGGTTTGGCCCAGGAAAACAGAAGGCCATCATTGCTTCTTGCACCTTGGTCCAAGTAAGAATAACTTTGTTTGGTAAATGGGCGTAAATACCCCTCACAAACCTGTTGTGATTGTTGTGGCTGCAGCTGTAGAACTCTTTACCTTTGCACATTAGAACTGCACAATCACTTGAGCACTTCAAATCCTTGCTTTAGACGCACTTTTTCTCTTTGGCTTTGTTTTTATTTGTATATATGCTTTGTAAATATACATGTATACTTTGGTAAGCCTAGACTGTTTTAAATGTGCTCTACAAATAAATATCTGAGGGATTGATTGATTTATAGTATGGGGAACTGCCTCCAATGTGGATCCAAGTAAAACATAGTTTAAAGTTCAGTTAGAAGTGTTAGAGTTTAGATAGAGTAACTGGCAATGGTTATACAGTATATATACAGGCACAGTTTAGAAAATGCACGCAAGTCAATGTAACGTACTTAGGAAGCATAAAAACCTGCCCTTGGGCCTTCCCCCTTCTCTGAGTAGATACAATACGCGATCATATGTGAACCACTTTGTATAGAAACCAAACTTGTGTGTAATGTGTCCTTTGTCTGAGTAAAGGAATGTGTTTCTGTATCTCTGTGCTGTAATTGCAGGTGATAATTTGCGCAGTGTGGCTGGTGGTGGCTCCCCCAGGCCCCCGGCGCCTGATGCCCCGTGAGAGTGCTGTGGTCATCCTGTTGTGTGAGGAGGGCTCTGCTGTGGCCTTCGCCCTGGTGCTGGGTTACATCGGCCTGCTCGCCTGCCTCTGCCTCCTTTTGGCTTTTCTGGCACGGAAACTCCCCGGAAACTTCAACGAGGCCAGACTCATCAGTTTCAGCATGCTCATCTTCTGTGCCGTGTGGGTGGCCTTTGTGCCGGCTTACATAAGCTCTCCGGGAAAGTACTCCATGCTCACTGAGGTGTTTGCGATACTGGCCTCTAGTTATGGACTCCTGGGCTGCATCTTTGTCCCCAAATGTTACATCATTTTGCTCAGGCCAGAGAAAAACACCAAGAAGTATTTGATGTACAAAGGCTCTGAAAAAAAATGAAAGACTGTAGTATCTGCTTTTAACCAGCAGATAGAAGCATTGCACAACAAACTGTGGAGCGGCTGAAGGGAATATGTAGCTATATTATCATTATATTAGTATGACCACTGAATTTATGTTTTTATATTTTCAGGTACATAATGTCTTTATAAATTATTGTTAAATGATTAAATGAGCAAAAATGATTGGATTACATTACACACTTTATTGATTTGTTTTAATTGATGTTATATTTCACATAAAAAAGACATGTCAAGATGTTTGTTTAAAAATGTGTTACAAGTTTGTACATTTCTCTTTCATTATTATTTAATCAATGTATTATTTTTCCAAAAACGTCTGTACAAATAAAATAATATTTATTTATTCATAAAAGTGAATGTGGTGTATGTCTGGGGAACAGGAATAATGGATTACATGTGTATCTGTAATCTGTGAAGGTAATACCAAATAATCTGATGAACGTCATTAAATCACAGCTGTGTCTTCTTGAAATGAAACAATTGTCGATTTATGACACTTTCTCAGGTGTTTCTATCTTTAATGAATGTTGTTTTAAAATGTTGTTTCTGCCAACGGGTGCTTTAGATTATTCATGAGAAGGCAATTATACACCTGCCCCATTCTGGATACAATATCACTGCTGTCAGTAGCTGTAGACGTGACATGCAAATGGTGGTCATCTTCCCAACAATAAATAATAAGAGTTTTAGAAACTTCACAACGGGAAGTCCTCTGTCAAACCTTCAACTTCAAGTCTGTTTGCTTCTGAACAGCAGCAGACAAGTCGAAAACACAACATTACATTAAAATGCATTTCATTACATTACATTACATTGCAGTATAATACATTGCGTTAAATCACAATCCAAAATGACTAAAAATGGCATGTTGTGCACCCTGATATTAAAGGGACTGCACACACTCATTTTCAATTGAGCCGTGCAGGTTTGCTGTTACAGTATAATTCAGTAATGTGTGTGATGAGATAAATACTGAGAGTCACAGTCTAAAGGGGTAATATTTTGAGGCTAAAGAATTCAGTGTAATCAGAGCTGTGCAGTCCTCAGTACATCCTGGCAGGAGCGTTTACTAAACCACTGTGAAGTAGGCTTGAGAGAGAGTTAAAAGAGCATTGATTAGTCGCCTTATAAGAACATGGCACATAACACGCTCGGTGAATTCGTAAACATGGATTAAAAGGGGCACTCGAGCATGAGTTTGACTTTACAGAGGGACTTAGTAACCTGAACATCAAGCAAGATTCACTTCACACAAATAACATTCATAGATATACGGTATAAATTGCCACAATCTTGGTATTTCTGCCATTTTGAGCTTTGTTTATTTTTGTTTACAAAGTTACTTTTGCACTCAAGATAGGAGAAATATGAATAAAACATTATTATTATGCTTGTAATTGTATGAGTCTGGTAAGGGTGACGCTGGATCAAACTGATTGCCTCACTACTGTGACAACACCACAACCATATGGAGTGAATGAATGATGCCATGTGAAGTGTCTTTGAGCGTCCAAAATAGCGCTACATAAAACTGATGCATTATTATTGAAATAACATAAATTCATTATTTGTAGGTTTTTTTTATATAAAAGTCTATATTGAGCCTCAAATTCGAAATTTTTGCTACAAAATTCTGCCAAGAGAATCATGCTGTCAAAATAGCCCAGTGTAATATAAGTAACATAAACTATTATTTACAGATGCTTGTAAAGATACACAATCATCAGGCTGAACAATAGGAGACCTGCTCCTGATGAGAGGTGCTCAGGGACGACTGCAGAGCTGTCATTTCCTGACTATTGTCTCTAACAAGGACTCATCCAATTACAGTACATCCAAGAGCACTCTCTCCTCTCATCGCTCTTCTCTGAGTCCACTTTTCAGACCCCTGCCCTGTACTTCTCTTTCTGAATTAATTATTTTACTTTGTTTTAGCCGAAAAAAAGTATTGTGCATTAGTAATAACAATCTAAAGACATAAATGATGTGTAATAAGTTATAACGGTACATAGCCCCCTGAGCCCCCTGGGCCAAGTTATCAAAATTAAGTAATCATCCGGAAAGTTGTAGCAAGTGTTAAGTAACGTGACTGACCGTAAAAGCATTAAGAACACGCTTTTCTTTATCTTGATCATGTGGATTAAAATGAAATTAACAAGGAGAATATATTATCTCCAGGAGCCCCCTCCAGTCCTGCTCCCTACTGCACCTGGGCTTTTTCTAATCAGCAATGAGTCTATCATCTTTCACCTGGCAGTATTCATTTATTTCATTTTTATGAATATGAAATAATGTAAATGTGTAAATGTGAAATGGGAAGTTAGTCAGCATTTGACCCATCCTGATGTGGCTTCTGTCAGGTGCAGTGGTCGCCATAGTACAGCGCCCGGTAAACCTTCTCCTGATGTTTGTACTCGGCTTGGTCAGGAGTTGGGGGATTGTACCTATCGTGCATGTTTTTAGTGGTAGGGGAAACCGGAGCATCCGGAGGAAATCTACAAAGACACAGGGAGATCAGGGCTACCCACTCAGCCAGCGTGCCGCCCAAAGGTTACAGGACAACAGATGTGCACCCCTATAGCAAGAGCATGCTAAGTTACAACAATTGTACGAGGCTTGTACACAGGGCCTCAATTCTATGCTCTCTGCTCGTGCTGTAGCCATCCTCCTCCACATCGCCACCTCAGCAGTGGGACATGCTATCTCATCACTTCAGCTTAATTTCACTCCCACATATGTCATGCACTATATGACATATGCAGCATGACATGTACCAGCATATGTCAATATCATTTTGGACACTCAAAGATGCTTTACATGACATTATCAATTCACTCCATACAGGGTGATAAACTACTACTGTAGCCACAGCTGCCTTGGGGCACACTGACAGAACCAACCAACCACCACCAACCATTCACACGCACACGGCACGGGGGCTGAGTGGATAGCACTCTCGCTTCTCAGCAACAAAGACCGGGTTCGAATCCCGGTCGGAACAGGGCCTTTCTGAGCGGAGTTTGCATGTTCTCCCCATGTCTGCGTAGGTTTCCTCCGGGTTCTCCGGTTTTCCCTTCCACTAAAAACATGTACAATAGGTCTGGCATGCGCCTCCGGTACTGACGACCCCGCTCCCATCTCTGTGTGGAGTGAGAGGACAATTGCCCAAAAAATAACAATTGTAAACCGCTTTGTGACACAGCGGCAGTTTGGTACTTTACAAGACATCAGTGGAGAAAGTCTTGTGGTGGGCTCGAATCCACGACGTTCAGCCTCAAAGGCCAATTTTCTACTAACTGAGCCACTGTCACCTCTAAGGCTTCTAAGAAGACAGTGGCTCAGTTAGACTGAAGCTATTGGTGCACCATTCTGTACATCAATTTAGTCTAAAGCCCCATTTTCACCAGCCCTTCTCTACCCAGCTCTATTTTACTCTGATTGTGAGTTTCCACCAGCCCTGTTAAACCGGTACAAGTATTTTTTTAATCTGCGTGGCCCTGGTTATATCCAGGTCAGACTGGTACTAAATAGTAACAGAAACTGGATTCTGGTTTGTTGTGGGTAGGTTGCTAGGATGCAGTACCAGATCCTAAATAAGTAATGGTAGAGTAGACCCGCTCACCAGGTTGAGTAGAGCCGAGTAGGGCTGGTGGAAAGAGGGCTCGATGGCAAACATCATGCTGTAACCAATATCCAACATGCAAGCAGACCTCAATTGACTACATTCAAATTTCTATTTTTGCCTGTGTGAGTCTTTGAACGAGTTTGTGCATCACACATATCTCTGTGACAATACCATGCTTCACAATCAGTTCAATCATGACAGGCCTCTACACACCTGAATTATTATTAAGAAATCTGTGAACTCATCCACCGCAATGGCTTGGTCACAGTGGTTTGTTAAATCCTACATGTACAGCACGTGAGTTTGACCCCCTTCTCTTGGGACACTTCTGGCGGCCTCAGCTGTAGCAGAAGTCCCAGTGAGAATCAGACACAGCTGCCACAGAGGGTCCGCAGAGAGCGCACTTTGAGCCAACCATCCAAAATGATCCAACATCTCCACTTGCACTCAGTCATATACCCATGTTTGTTTGCATTTTATGAATAGAAGATGGAACTGCATTGTGCTCCACCGGTGTTTTTCCAGCCTGCCTATCCAGACACCAAATCCTCGCAGCATCGTCAGTACCATGGCAAAAGGATTCAGGGAAATAGAAAGGCAACAGCCAAGAGAGGTGAGCAAATAAACCCTTCGGGAAAAAGATCATTCTTCTTTTCATCTTTCCTCCGCAGTGTTTGTCTCTTCTTCTAGATGTGGGACTCACGGATCCAGACCAGAAACTGTTCCCTGCTCTCCTCATTGTGGGCTGGGTGGTGTGCTGCACTGCTGTGGTCTATTTTGTTTACATATTTGCATGGGTAACTTTTTGCATACTGTATATTTATTTGAAGCGCATTTGAATGATATACTATGATATGAGTCTGAGTTTTATTTTATGTGATTCACAGAAGAGAGGTTTTGGAGGAAGAATCTAACACCTAAAACCAGCGCGCATGAATGATCTGCAGCCGAGTCGTAATAAAGAAAGTTAATTTTGTTGTTGATAGTTGTCTGCTCAGTATATTGAATATTAATTGAATTTTTGTTGTAATTTGCAACTGTTTATGGATTTTTTTTTCTTGTAAAATGATCCAAGGTTACAAATGTAAAAAGAAAATTAAGACATTTCCATTTGTATTCCATGCAAGCATGTAATTGGTTGTGTTCAGGCTTAAATTATCAACTTTTTAAAAATTCTCCTGCATATGTTGTGAAGCAGGGCTGAATGACAGGGCTCCAAGTGCGGTAGTCAAACGTCGGGAGCATCTCAACTATGGGATGTTAGGGCAGCCAATGTCGTTTCCATGGTGACCGCCACTTTTTGGTAATTTCTGCACCCCATAACGACGCAGAAAGACAAATTAATTGCTAAATAAATTAACTGGAGAGACATGAATATGCTAAGACAAGTATAATGAGATTTAAACCCTCAAGATGACAGCAAAGCACTTAAGCAAAGGATTTTCTTCGGACAAATGCATATATAATGAATATCACACGCATCGGAATACTTGATCCATGTATTATTTTATTATTAATTTCCGCTAGAATAAAAGAGGGGTCGTAACTGTATCCACGTCAACAGATTTGTCAATCTCACACCACAAATCTGGTGTGCTTATTGCAACAGTTGCATATCATTTAACGTCATGAATTAAATCTATGTAGTCTTTGGTTTCATAATTTACTTGTAGGCATTTCTGATTTGTATGTATGATATGAGGTGTGTTTCTAACTTCCTTGCACTAACCAGCGAGTGCAAAAAACACCCTGATTATCAATGTGCAGCCCAGATGTCTATGGGCCACGGTGGTAATGAGGTGAAAGAACACTCCGGTAATGCCACCCACGCCCTGCACTATTATTTACCTTTACAAACAACCAAACACTGATTGTGCATGGCGTAACTCTTTAGTCATTCCAGCATCTGCTCAGAGCCGTTGTTATGCAAGAACGCCACAAGCTGCAGACTATCTCGTGGTTTCAAGGTGGCACGGATTACTACTGTTTATGGCATGCAGCTGGTACAGTGGAATACAGATTTTGTCTTTCAAAAATTGCCAAAAGGAATTTTGGTTTTTAATTGTTTTAACGTGTGCAATTAAACATGAAAGCATACTGAACTTATTAGTAGAGGAGGGACATTCTTTCAAGTCGCCAAGTGCTATTTAAGAGATAGTTACCACAAGACTGAGGCTTACACGAAACAGACAAGTTTAATGTGAAGCAAAAGGACACACCTGCACCGACTAGAATAATAAAAAAAGAAGAAATACATTTTAATGGTCAGATAGTTAACCAGGTCTTTGATTAATGCAGGAATGTGGAGCAGTGATTGGTTTAGGATGCAAATGTAAAACTGCACAAATTTTGTTCCCTTAAAATATTTTATTGTGGACGAGACTAGATGGAGTTAGTGTAGTCTCTTTATTGTCAACTCACACTAAACAAAAACCAGTGAAATTGGTCGAACGACCACAAGATGTCAGTGTTTATTATATATTTCTTATTAATAAAAGAAACTGAAGAATGAACTTAGAAGTATAGCCGTCGTTGTGGTCACGTGACACGCGGTCAGAGCAGATTGTGGCATTTGCTGCGGTCATTATTGTGAAACTGAAGAAGCTTGTAATGTTCCTGGAGCGCCCCATAGGCAGCACCCTGTGGCGGGGTTATTAAAGCCATGCACTAAAATGGTGTCAGAAAGGTCGCAGTAAAATGTGGCGGTTTTTTGTTTTGTTTTAGTTCTAGTCACGTAATGCAATGAAATGCTTGAACATTTGAGGGTTTTACAAAGCGTCCAGCTGCCTACTACTGACCTTTATTTGAGCACACACTGAGAGCAGAGCATGAAAGAGCCGTTCAAATAAAGTAGCACTACAGCTGCAGTGATCACACTTTCAACAAGCATGAGGGTATGGATTTACATGCTTCAGTGCACATTTCAAAGATATACTGTTGTGATAGTCCCCGTGACCCTCTCACATGAAGCATTCCTGAGGCAGCATGCCCACGGCCCCCACAGACATACCACCACCACCACCGCAGGAGGCCCACTGAGACCACAAAAGGAACCCAGCCAAGTTATGGTCATGGGGGCAAATTAACAAACAATGCAGAGAAACTTTGGGAAAGGAACTTTGAAGCAAAACTTTACCATTAACTCGGCCATTACTTAACTACATCAAAGTGGTCAGTTTGTGAAGTGCTTAGTATTAGACATATGCACATGAACCTTTTCATACCCTTCATATAAATAATAGTTGCTGCTTGTAGTTGATAATAACAGCAACTCCCTGTGTACACTTCTGTTTTATGTTTTTGAACATAAACACAAAGGAGTTACAAAAATACAGTTTTGATTTTGTTTTTAAATGATCTGAACAGCTATTTAAGTATTTTTGAGTAGGGGTGTGACCCTTTCTCCCGAGATTCGATTATCGATATGCATTTGCCAAGTATCGATATCAATCTTTTTTAAAAATGTTTAATTTTTTTTTTTTTTATTGGTATCAATACTTATTATATGGCTACATTACGCATCTCCATTTCATTTATCATGAAATAAAGTGTACTTTTTCTTTTATTTATGCCATAAATTGGCATATTGTATATTTTTGACCAATATATCGATAATCGTTATCGTGATAATATCGTTATCGTGAGCTTTGTATCGTGTATCTTATCGTATCGTGAGGTACCCTTAGGTTCCCACCCCTATTTTTGAGTGTTTTTACTATTCTTGAGTACTTTGTGTTTCAACACTGATTATTACCCACTACAAGACAAATGTAACAGCTAACTTTTGATAATAATGACTTTTGAGATTCCTCAGTCCTGGGAGTCCGAGCTTCTCCATGGGCAGAAGAGGCTGAGGTGCATCAGCTGTGATGCTGCAGCGTGAGACGGACGCTCAGAGAAGCAGGGCAGTGGGCGGTGTGAACTTTCCCTTATCTGCCAGAGCATTAACAGCTTGTGTGGGGAAGTCAGGCGGTAAATAAGCAATTTGAACTGTTGAAAACAATGCATCAAGGGCCAACAGCAGAGACATAACAGTATGGACTAGTGATGAGATTAAATGAACTTCTCTGGAGATGCAGACGTAATTTGTGCAGCCAACTTATCGTCAACAGACGCATCAATTGTTTCTCCAATCTCCAATAAGCATGCAGATGGTCAGTTTGTTACTGGGTTGGAGTGCAGATCTACGGTATGAATAGTAATGGTAGGTCGAAAAAAAAAAGAGGAAAAATAGAAATACTAAAAGGAAACATATTATTCAAAATTGATTTATTTTAGGCCCATCCACAAAACTTCTGGCACAAACATGTAACTCTGCCCCTTCAGTCTAAAAGATTCCTTTAATAGTATGATGTCATTGTACCACTATGACATCACCCTAAATTAATTTAGGCAGTTTCTCAAGTGAAATTTTGTTCTTTACAATTGCATGGATGTGTTTTCTGCACAGAGAATTGGTAGGTTTCAGGCAGAAGGCTTTTTTTTTTACCCTTGTTTCACCTTTATTTTTCATCCTCAAGTAAATTGATTTATTACCATTTTAATGGCCAAAAATTGTGAATAATATATCTTCTTTAAATGATCATACATATTTGCTGTACTGTTTTTCACATTTCTTTTTGGATCCTGTCAGGCCTAACATTTCTTGTGTGCTTTTGTTTGAGTTTCTCCAGTTTCAGCAAAAGCCCCTATCATTCAGTGCAGGGTTTCTTTACACAGGGTCATGGGAGCAACATTTGGATGTTGCTATTGAGCTAATATCTTTACATATTATTCCCATATTCCCAAAATACTTGTAAGTAATTTCTGGAAAAGCGAGCACTAATGCCGCTGCTACAAAAGGGTTTTGTTGTCTCTCTGTGGACACGGCTAAATTAAACTAAATCCCTGATTCATGGCGGTCTATTCTGCTGCAGTTCAAGAGCTGCATCAGTGGTTTTTTCCATTCTGGTGAGTTCTTTAAGGAGCTCTTAGTGTGCTAAAATACAAATTCCACGTTGTCAACTCATTAAAGACACACTGAAAGAATATTTATGTTTGTGTATGTAGTTGTTAATGTTAGTGCACCTTTACAGCAGTTTTTCCTTTTTTACTGAAATAATGTCCTCACTAAAAACAAAACCACAAAGAACAATGTATTATCTTTTTATTTCAAGTTTGTTTTAAAACAAAAAGACATTTTCAAGATGATTATCAGTCAATATAAAGTACTTAAATACAGGCAACTGAGGTATATATTGTTCTTTCTACAGGTGGAGTGTGTGAGGCAGAGCTGGAAAAGAGTACAATCCTCAATCATGTGTGAATCAATGATATTTCCTCTTGTGTCGAAAGCCGTACGTTCTATTGAATAATGTTTTGTCATACTTTTATCAACTTATTTTTGCTGACAACATCCAGAACTAACTATCCTGAAGCGGCAGTGCAAAGTGATTCATATTTGAATCCAATCACATTTGTCTGATCATTTATGCACTAAATCTTACAATATTGGCTGAAAGCTGGAGTACCTAACTTCTACAAACCAGACTTATTCGAAAATATTATAAATACATTATTGAGAGCTGATTGGCTGAGTATAGGTGGTCCTCTCTTTTTCTCTGAAAAAGCTGATCTGTGTGACAAAGGCCCAAAACTAGTTGAACTGTTTTGCGAGTTAAGAACTTGTTATGTATTTCATTACATTATCGTTAGGTACTCCAGCTTTAAACATTTTTGACACAATACTAAACCCTATCATTGGTCAAAATGAATACCGGATGGAGCTCAATTAAAACATTATAATCCTCAATATAATAATGTAACAAAACAGGAGCAGTGAGATTACAAATAGTTTTTGCCATGTAATGCAATAAGAATTATGTCTGAAATGATAGTGCCAATAGAAGTTACATTGAACATACCCAAAGTAAAACAGAATGTGTATGGCTCTAGTTGGTATTATTAGTATACCCACCCACACTCTGGCCTCACACAACATGAGATGTAAGGCAAAGCAGTCGCTCGCTTTATACAACCACCACAACAAACAGTGATGTGCTGCTAATGAGAAATACATGTGCACATACAAACTGGTGATTGTCCATTCGTATGATAAGCAGCAGCGAAAGGCAAGAACTGTATGTTATTTTGGTTCATCTCTCTGTCTAATCATCCTCCTGCCATTACTGAAACAATTTAGCTGTACACAATATAAAGATGTATAGAAAAATATATTAACACATGATTTGTGCATACAAGAGGCAGTCTTCATCTGGTTTCAACAAACATTTTACTCCCTTGAGAGCTTGGGTGGTTTTGATCATGTTTTTTGGCACAATTTAGGATTTTACCTTTCTGTTTGAGTTCTTCTCGTGTCGTGTGTTGGTTACAAGTTGAATACAGGCCAATTAAAGTTTGTCAGTGGTTATAATCAAAGCACGTATTTCATGTCGGGAATGAGTAATGTCTGTATATGGTTTTTTCCTTTCAAAATAAAATATGAATGAATGACAAATCTCCACCTGTTTATTTGGCCAATGTCCTCAGGACAAGTGCAAACTGCGGTGCCAGTCCAATCCCGGTCTTTGCTGGCTGAAGGCTTTCTCCGAGTTACTTCTGTCCACCTCCACAATTCCCACAAATCATAGGGTAAAAGCCGGACGGCACAGACAGCCACCCTGCTTCAGTCCCATTACAATCACCACACCCGGCAGACGCTCTCCGGGACCATGTTGCTCTTCCTGCTGCACTTGAACGCATTTGCAAATTCAGGGAAGTTTTGAAGAGAACCGAGAACCCTGTGACGCACAAGTACAAGATTATTCCCTAATTTACAGAACAAGAAATAACAACATTTGAAGGTGGTTGAAATGTACATGGCATGTGATATAAATATAACTGCAGCTGTAGCCTATACAATTGTTTTTTCCTTACTTGGTTTATAGTTTCCTTTTGGAAAACATCTTAACCTTTTTGACACATTTTATCTATGCTCTTATTGGAAAAGGGAAGTGAAGCACTGCATATTGCTTGCTTCTTTATTCAGAACCTTAAACCAGAATATTGCTGGTTCAAATCAATCTCTCGCCACTCTGAAACCCTCCTCCAAGGCTCCAAACAGGGAGACATATTTCCAGGGTATGAGCATTTGTTTACTCGCACAAGACTAAGGCCCGCGGACCAATTGCGGCCATCTGTGTCATTTTATCTGGACCTCTGCCTTGCTAGAACAGTCATAGTGTCATCAGCCAACTTCAGCTCCACCAACATCCATCCATCCATCCATTTTCTTCCCTTTAATCCATTTCTGGGTCAGGGGGGTGGCAGTCAGAGATGCCACCCAAGTCTCATAGCACCAGCCCCTCACTGACCCTCTGCAGGTGGTGAGTCCACAGGAGGACGGCTGCTCTCTGAGTGAGAGCATAGCCTTGATCTTTCAGTGGGGGCTTTGGGCAAAGTGGGGTTAAGTGTCTTGCCCAAGGACACAACGACAGCAGTCATCAGTGGGAGTCGGTGGAGAAGGTGCAGAGGTGGGAATTGAACCCACAACCTTCTGGGCTTAAGGCCAATGCCTTAATGCTCCACCAACATACGAAAGGAAAAAGAATGAAATAGTTTGATTTAAATATTGCACTCTTTCTTTAAGTTATATACACTTTATTTCACTTCACTTCACTATCACTGTGTCTGTCTCCTATATCATATATTGAACTGAAATTTTGTAACAAAACGACCAATGAGTATTAGGAAAATCATCAAAAAATGTAGGGGTGCCCAAACTTTTTCACACCACTGCAGACATGGTGTCCCTTGTTGTGAAGCAAGCAATCCAGCCATTTACTTTGATTGTATATTCTGATATTTGTTTTTGATTACTGTATGTTGCAAAATTCTGTATGTGGCTCTTGTGGGTCATTCAGCCAACTTCAGCTCCGACATAGCTAATTATAAAGCTCAGAACAGCCTGAATCCTGCCAAAACTGTTTCACAATCCAGGTTGTCAGCCCTCTTACAAAAATGTTTGGACACCCCTGCACTAGATAGAGATATGAATGTAAAGATGAGATTCAACCCATTAAAAGCCATTATTATGATAATGTGCTACCTGAATTGTCCTGGACTGTGAACGTCTACTTTGATGGAATTGACAGCTTGCTTCGGCCGATGGGTTCCACACCATATCTAGAACGGTGAGTAGAGAAGCGTCAACAAAACTCCAACAGAAAATAAGCGTCTTCACTTAGTTATTAACAATCTGCAATCATATTTGTTTTCACCAGATGATTTCTGTGGGTACCCCGAGCCGAAAACTAAATAAATGTCTTACAAAATCCTAGTTGGGAAAATGAGTTCACTTTTCATCATGATTCAAAACGTGTGCTATTCATATGGCTTATTCCTCCTTTACTGCAACCACAATGAAAGTACCTATAAAATGAATGCAGTTTATTTCGGTTACTTGTACATTTTACACATTTTCAGGACAGTAAATTTTAGCAGAAAACAAAGACCGAAAAGGAGTAGGCTGAAGCTAATGCTTTTATTGCCTACCCTTTTTACAAGTGTCATTAGTATAAGTGAATGTAAACAATAGCATTTAAATTAGCACTATATCAACATCAAAAATCTGAGTTCAGGTAGCCATCCAAAATTATGATTTTAAAGAGGTAAAGTGAATTGCATGACTTAAGTTCATCTGTGCATCGGTTCCAGAGATCATCCCATCTAACAGACAAATGGAGCTTAAGCGGAGGTTCAGTATGGTAGACTACCTACGTTATCACACAAGGCTTGACCACGCCTTACTCAGCCTGTCTTAATCAACTCCCCGCAGCCGTGTCAATCAAGCCAGCGTTTAAGAGCAAAGCAGAGCACAGCTCACCAAACGGACTTCAAGCTGCAATGGGTTGCTCTTCGTCACTTTGTTACTCACGCCTCGCACATTGTTCGTCCTGCATGGTCGCGGCTCCTCTTCCACATCACATGTTTGGGGCTGCGCGCCATGGTCGCTGTGTCTCCACCGCGGCTCACCGCGGCTCCTCTCCTGCGGACTCGCTGCCGCTCGTCTCCCCGTGGCGCTGCTACTCGCGGCCAGGCGTTACTCCGTGCACCCTGCAGCTTCCATACCGGGCACGGGACTTCTATCTGCCTGCCGTTGTCTGCCTGCCGCTGTCCACCCGTCTCCCTGCCTCCACTCACGGTACAGTGTCGGTTTCGTGTTTTCCGCACTACCATGAACGTACTGAACTGCGGCGTGTCAGTTAATCCCGCGGAATTGTCTCGCAGGCTGTGTTTCTAACCGCTGCATTGCTCTTCAGGCTGTTCGTTTTACCATCTGCATTGGCATTTAGACTGTCCGTTTTCACCATGGACCGTACATTTTAACCACTGTGTTGGCCTTCTGGCTGTCCGTTTTACTCATGGGCTGAACATTCTACACACTGCAGTGGCCTCCAGGCTGTCCGTTTTACTATGGACTGAAAATTTTACCCACTGCATTGACCTTCAGGCTGTCAGGTGTAACCATGGACTATAACATTTGTCGTCTGCTTGGCCTTTGCGCTGTCTATTTGACCGTGGACTGTAAGTTTTGCCCACTGCATTGCCTCCCGGCTGTCCGTGTCTGATGAGCTGCTCTGATTGGTCTGAGCGCGGCCGAGCCCCTCTGTACTGTTCGTTTTAACCAGTGCGTTGGCCTTCAGGCATGCTTCATTGGCCTCACTTCAACGCTTCATCGCAGCACACATCGGCGGCCGCACACTTCGGTGGCCGCATGCTTCGACTACGCCACTTCGGTGGCCGCACGCTTCGACGACGCTTCGACTCCTCCTCCACGCTTCGACTCCTCCTCCACGCTTCGACTCCTCCTCCACGCTTCGACTCCTCCTCCACGCTTAGACTCCTCCTCCACGCTTCGACTCCTCCTCCACGCTTCGACTCCTCCTCCACGCTTCGACTCCTCCTCCACGCTTCGACTCCGGCGCACTCATCGACTCCGGCGCACTCATCGACTCCGGCGCACGCATCGACTCCGGCGCACTCATCGACTCCGGCGCACGCATCAACGAAGGCGCACGCATCGACGAAGGCGCACGCATCGACGAAGGCGCACGCTTGGGCGGCGCACGCCTTGACGCGGCACGCCTTGGCGCCTCAACAATGCCGCACGCTACGCCGCAGCACGCTTTGACGCAGCACGCTTCAACGACGGCGCACGCTTTGACGCAGCACGCTTTGACGCAGCACGCTTTGACGCAGCACGCATCAACGATGGCGCACGCATCAACGACGCAGCTCGCTTGGACGCCGCACGCCTTGACGCCGGCGCACGCCTTGACGCAGCCGCATGCATCAACGACGCCGCTCGCTTGGACGCCGCTCGCTTGGACGCCGCTCGCTTGGACGCCGCACGCCTTGACGCCTCAACGACGCTGCACGCCTTGATGCAGCACGCTTCAACGACGGCGCACGCTTCAACGACGGCGCACGCTTCAACGACGGCGCACGCTTCAACGACGGCGCACGCTTCAACGACGGCGCACGCTTCAACGACGGCGCACGCTTCAACGACGGCGCACGCTTCAACGACGGCGCACGCCTTGAGGCAGCACGCTTTGAGGCAGCACGCTTCAACGACGGCGCACGCTTTGACGCAGCACGCTTCAACGACGCCGCACGCTTTGACGCAGCACGCTTCATTGCAGCACACGTCGGTGGCCGCACGCTTCATCGCCGTACGTCGGTCGGCGCACACGCTTCCACGTCGGTGTCCGCCTCCTGCCGCATTCTCGACCTCATGCTTCGACGCATTCGTGTGCTCTCATCCATTCATCGTGGAACCAGTGTCGACCATGGACTCGCGTTCCCCTTGGTGGGTGAACAATCCAACGCTAGGAGAGTTCTGCTTCACAATGACGGGAAGAGCCGGCATCGAAGGATCAGGTCAGTGGTCTGACTGAAGACGTGGTCTGACTGAAGACGTGGTCTGACTGAAGACGCGGCCTGACTGAAGACGCGGCCTGACTGAAGACGCGGCCTGACTGAAGACGCGGCCTGACTGAAGACGCGGCCTGACTGAAGACGCGGCCTGACTGAAGACGCGGCCTGACTGAAGACGCGGTCTGACTGAAGACGCGGTCTGACTGAAGACGCGGTCTGACTGAAGACGCGGTCTGACTGAAGACGCGGTCTGACTGAAGACGCGGCCTGACTGAAGACGCGGCCTGACTGAAGACGCGGCCTGACTGAAGACGCGGCCTGACTGAAGACGCGGCCTGACTGAAGACGCGGCCTGACTGAAGACGCGGTCTGACTGAAGACGCGGTCTGACACTGCCCGTTGGTCCTTTTCGCTCGAGTGATAGTGGTTCGAGGTTTCTCTTTTCAGCTTCGCAGGAACGCGATGCCGCAACGCCGCACCAAAGCTCTGCTACAACGCCGCGATGGTGGCCTGCCGCAACGCTGGCCTGCTAAGACTGCATGAGTACTGTTCGGCGTGGCCTTCAAACCTGGCCGGCTATCTTCCCCAGGCCGCACTCATTGGCTTTTGGTGTGCAGCACTGCCCGCCACGGTTTGCGTGCACTCTGAGTGGCTGTAGGCGGTGCTCCTTCTCATGTTCCCCAGGCATATTCTCTCCTGGTCTCCTGGTGCGGCTCCTGCCGCCGGGCCTGTCTCACGCTTCGCCTTACCTGACGCACCCTGGCCCTCATTCTGACCGGGCCCTTGTGCGTTGGTTTTTGGGGGTCCAGAGATCTCCTATCGAACATCAATCTTCCTGGGTAAGTGTACTTCATGAATCTCATTTTCACCTTTTAGTCTCCCCAAGCGGAATCATGTTCGAATATCAGCGCTCTAAACACCAGCAGTTCATCCTTCATTCAGCTTTCTCCTTTCCCTCTCACTTCACACTCTCAGTCTCTGGACATCAGCATCGCGGGTACTGCCGTCACTGCCTCATCTACATCGGCATTAAATACATTCTCTAAAATCCACTTCGAGTCACACTGCTCCACCCTCATAAGAAGATCCTTAAAGGAGTATTGGCAATGGTCCTTGTTCTGTAGTTTAGGTCCTGGACGACTAGCCTGTCTGTCCGTGGAGTGGATTCCCTCTCTCTATGTAGGGTCTTCCGAAGGTTTCTCACTTTTTTTCCCACGGGGTTTTGTGAGTTTTCCTTGCCATGCAGGAGGGTCTGGACAGTTAGTGTCCAACTAGAAGGCCCGTGGTGATGATCCAGGATACTTTAACATTCTACAACATCTATGGACATTTTATCAACATTCATAGACTATAATTACTCCTTAAACAATCCCTCGACGACCCCCTGGTCTGAACAAATTCAAAACCTCTGCTCCCTGCATGTAACCTCTCTTCCTTTCTCTACACCCGCCACTCCTTCCGGATAGGAGCAGCCACTTGGACTGCTGCCCTGGGAATCCCTCAATCATCTCTCCAGGAGCTCGGTCCCCGGTTCTCTACCACATTCATCCGTTCTGGCAGCCCAGCGCCTCCTCTCATATAAGTACGTATGCATCTCCTGGTGGTGGCAACTCCTCATTTCCAGCATGCCGCGCACTCGAGCCAAGCTCGTGCGCGTGCCAACGCCTAGCGCTAGAGCCGAGCTCGCGCACGGACATTACGCCGCGCACTTAGGCCGAGCTCGTGCGCGTGCTAGCGCTAGAGCCGAGCTCGCGCACGGACATTACGCCGAGCGCGTGCCAACGCCTAGCGCTAGAGCCGAGCTCGCGCACGGACATTACGCCGCGCACTTGAGCCGAGCTCGTGCGCGTGCCAACGCCTAGCGCTAGAGCCGAGCTCGCGCACGGACATTACGCCGCGCCCTTGAGCCGAGCTCGTGCGCGTGCCAACGCCTAGCGCTAGAGCCGAGCTCGCGCACGGACATTACGCCGCGCACTTGAGCCGAGCGCGTGCCAACGCCTAGCGCTAGAGCCGAGCTCGCGCCCGGGCATTACGCCGCGCACTTGAGCCGAGCTCGTGCGCGTGCCAACGCCTAGCGCCAGAGCCGAGCTCGCGCACGGAAACAGTCACTCACACCATGCGCCTTCCATAAACGCAGCAACCAAGTCATGGCAAACGCATCGCTAGCCAAGCTCTCTTTTTGGGGATCATGATCTGCACCCAGGCGCAGATCTCTCCAGAGCACGGCCACAGCCGGGGCCTAAGCTCCAAACCAATAAACAAACTCAATCCATAAAATAAACAACTCTTAAACGCATCTCGTCTCTTGTAGTCTCTCCAGGTTGAAATGGAGCTTAAGCGGAGGTTCAGTATGGTAGACTACCTACGTTATCACACAAGGCTTGACCACGCCTTACTCAGCCTGTCTTAATCAACTCCCCGCAGCCGTGTCAATCAAGCCAGCGTTTAAGAGCAAAGCAGAGCACAGCTCACCAAACGGACTTCAAGCTGCAACCACCTCCTCCCCACCTCCGCCTCAGGATTTCTTCACACTCACATTCACCTTGCCTTGTTGCCACCACCAGTGTCTAGGCCCCGGGGGATCATGATCTGCACCCAGGCGCAGATCTCTCCAGAGCACGGCCACAGCCGGGGCCTAAGCTCCAAACCAATAAACAAACTCAATCCATAAAATAAACAACTCTTAAACGCATCTCGTCTCTTGTAGTCTCTCCAGGTTGAAACAACTTTTCATTACATTTGTTCTATATTTTTGTTTTATGAACATGTTTGTTCCTCTCAATTCATGATGACTGTCTCTGATTGTGAACAGTTTCTGTAGTGGTTAAGACAGAAGGTCATTTTTAATCTTGAACATTACTATCAAACTGTAAAGGTCGACTAAATCATAGAATTTTAGTATTTGTAGATTTATAAACAGTGCATTTGTTGGCTCGTTGTAGGCTGATGATGTAATCGCCCTTATTGCCTTTTTTTGCAGTATGAAAATTGGTTTAGTATTACTTTTATAAGTGTTGCCCCATATCTCGATACAATATGTAATATAGGGCATTACTAATGAGTTATATATAATAAGTAGACTCTTTTTATTTAAGGTATATCTGTATTTATATATTATTGCTATTACTTTGGACAGTTTATTTCTAATATTATTTATGTGTGACTTCCAACTGAGCACGTGGTCTATAGTCACTCCCAGGAACTTGTTCTCATAGACTCGTTCCGGGGAGTGTTAATTAGATTAATTTCAGCTTGGTTTGAAATGTTCCGCTTCGCAAATATTATATATTTAGTTTTTCCAATATTTAGTGATAGTTTGTTGATATCAAACCAGAGTTTGATATCAACACGAGCTGATTTATGTCATCACCTGCACAATGAAGAGGAGTATCATCTGCAAACAAGACATAATCCAGTGCTTTTGAAACCGGAACTAAATCATTAATGTAAATAATAAAAAGTTTTGGCCCAAGCGTTGATCCCTGCGGGATGCCGCAGGTAATGTTTAACAGTTCTGATTTTTTATTTTCTATTTCAACATATTGGTATCAGTTTTGTAGGTAGCTTTGTATCCATGAATGTAATAGTCCTCGAAGTCCATATTTTTCTAGTTTCTGCAATAGAATATTGTGATCTATAGTATCGAAAGCTTTCTTAAGGTCAATGAAGACACCAACACTGTATTTCTTTGAATCTACTGATTTTGATATATTTTCTACCAGTTCCATAACGACCATTGAGGTGGAACGGTTTTTCCTAAAACCATATTGATGGTCACTTAAGAGGTTATATTTGTCTAAGAATTTATCTAGTCTGTGCACAAATATTTTTTCTATTACTTTTGAAAACTGAGAAAGAACTGAAATTGGTCTATAATTTGAGAAGGTGTCTATCACCTTGTTTGTGCACTGGAAAGATCCTTGCTTCTTTCATTGGGTCTGGGAATATACCCATTTTGAATGATTGATTACAAATGTGGGTCAGCGGTGCTGCTATACAGTACATTTGATTGTGTTCTTAATAAGATTGATATCTATTCCCAAAGAGTCATTAGACGTTTTTGTTTTAAATTTGTTTACTACTTTCACTATCTCTGTTTCATTTGTAGGATTAAGATAGAAAGTGTTTGGATTTCTGTTTATTGCATCACATGGAAATAGAATTTTATGCACAACAATATTTTTTGCTGGAGTCTGGAGCTCTCATGAACGAAGTAGTTTGGGATAGCAGGCATGTTTTCTCTCCTTTTGAGAACATTATTAATCACTTCCCATGTACCCCTGATCAGGCCCGTCCTAAGGGCTGTGCGACCTGTGCCGTCGCACAGGGCCTCGCACCACACAGGGGCCTCGCAATCTTCCTTCCTTTTATTTTATTTTATAAATACACTAGTTCAAGGGTCCCCAAAGGGCAGACTGCACTCCAAATTTGGAACCCTAAACCCCTTTCTCTGGACCTCTTTGATTTCGTTTGATCAAAAGAACATTTTTACAAGTAAAGTCAAATTTTCACCCAAAAGCGATTTGTAAACAGGCAGGCGCGCGGGCAGCTATGTATGCAACGGGTCCTCCGAAAAAACTGTCAGATAACTTTAGCAGTGTCTGAGTGAGATACAAAGAAAGTAACGGGAATGATCGCAGTGTAGGAGAGATGGATACTCGCGGAGGAGGAGCAGTGAGACAGGTGTGAGCAGAGGAGCAGACCCCTTTGTGTGAGCAGAGGAGGAGGAGGAGGATCAGCGGTGTGACAGGTGTGTGAGCGCTGCTATTGCCAATGTTTAGTCCGAATATCCACATCAAAAACATATTTTTAAAAGCATTAGCAAACACACTGTATGTCTAGCTTTAGCTAGCTGGAGTGTTTTTGTTGTGGTCAGAGTGTGTGGAGGAGGAGGTGAAGAGTATTTTGTTGTTGTCAGTGTGGAGGAGGAGGAGTGTATGTTGTCAGAGTGTGTGGAGGCATGGCAAAAAACGTTATTTGATGAGAAAATAATAATATTGACTCCGCCTCATAGCCATTTTGGCGCATTTTGCCCAAATCTAACTATTAGAAGAAAAAGACTCCTTTTGGTTCAATCTTTTGAGTTGCTCTACCATTTTGCCACAGGACGAAAGAGACATGTCAGCTAAAAAGACCGCGACCAATATTGCACGTAGAGTGTGTGTGCGTGTGTACGTGCGCGCGCCAAACGCTGCATAGGAGCGAAGACACTCGGTTACGCGCGTGCTGATCTCGTCAAGCACCGCGCGAGGTGGTGCTGAATTCATGTCAAAGATTATAACAGGAAAAACTTTCCTCAGATCTGGGAAAAAAGTGTCAGGGCAGGGCCTCGCGTTTCGAGTTCGCACAGGGCCTCGCACCCCCCTTGGGACGGGCCTGCCCCTGATATTATGTTTTTGACTACTTTGACTAATAAAGTGTCAAAGTTGTCATTTTTACTCTTTCTTATTATGCTTACCAGCTTGTTTTTGTACTTTTTGTACTTAATTTCAGATTCCAGTGTCCAGAGTAGTAAAAACTTGTAATATAACATTTTTTGCATGCGTTTTCTAGCCCTATAGTTGTCCACGGCTTTTTGACAACATTTTGATTAGTCTTTA